TTCCCCTGTGGCTTTTCTCAGCGGGAGCAGAGGCGCAGCTGCCCTCTCCAGCGGGGCTGGGCGCTCACACGCGGTGTGCGGGTGCACTGCTCGCCTCCCCTCCCCAGGCCTCTTTTCCACCACTTGCCTGACCCCTGTAGCACTGGAATGTATAATCCTTGCTCTAGTCCTATTCCACGTTTTCCAGTGGGCACAAGGAGGCCCAGAGGGAATGATCGATTTGTCAAAGGCACACAGGAAAGTGGTTGAGTTGTATTCTAAAACCCACACTCCTAAAGGTAAAGTCTAGGGGTGGGAAAGGTGTATGGCTCCCTCCGCTTCCTCACGCTGTGCACATCCTCACCCACACTACACCTTCTCTCCCTTCCTTCTGACACAGGAAGAGGAGGTGCTAAACGCCTGGGTAGCTGGGGTACCAGGCTGGGGGTGGGAGAGAGAACGAACCCAGGGGGAGTTGGGGGTGCTGACATCTTCAGTTGCCTGAGGCCAGTCCTGTTCCCACCACCTCCCTCCACCCTGAAGCACAAACCGAGATGAAAGCAAGTGGCATTCTTCCTGCCCTTGGTTCATTGTCTACAGCTCAGATTTTAATTGGAACACAGGAGCTGATTCACGGACAGCCTGTCCTGTAACTTGGTTTACAAGCAGAGGTTGTTAGTGGGTGGGACACCTGGGCACTCCTAAGCCTCTTGATCCTCTCCATACCTGAACTCATGACCTTCCCTAAACCCCAGCAGCCAGGTGTGATGTGTGGGAAGTGGCTGGACATTTTTTCTTGGACTAAATGCCTCAGGATACAAAGGAAGAGAGAAGCCCCTGTCCTCTCATTCTGCAGCCGAGCCACGGGCACACCCGGGCCATAGAGCAGGCAGGATCCCCAAGCTCACTGAGTCCAGATTTAGAACTATGCTCTTTAATTAAAAACAAAACAAAGATCAGGTAAGACTAATTGCCTCCAAGAAGGGAAACTGGAAACACCGATCACCCTATATACCCTTTTCTTCTTTCAAGTAGACTTTATTTTTTTGGACTAGTTTAAGGTTCACTGCAAAATCGAGCAGAAGTACAGAGATTTCTAATTTCCCCCTACACACACACACACACACACACACACACACACACACACACAGCCCCTCCATCATCAAACTGCCCACCAGAGTGGTAAATTTGTTAGGATTTATGACCCTACACACAGACACACCATAATTACCCACAGTCCAGTTTACATTAGGGCCACTTGGTGTTGGGCATTCTCTGAGTCCAGACAAATGTTGAATGACATGTACCCACCATTACAGCACCATACAGAATAGTTCCACTGCCTTAGAAATCTGTGCCCTTTTGAAACATTTCAAGCATTCTTCCCAATGCAGAACCCCGGGAGATCCCGGAGACCCCTCCCGCCCCCCCACCCCCTTCCACCCTGTGGAGCTCAGAGCTGCTGTGGAGGGAGGAAGGGCACACTAAGGCACACTAAGTGAGAGGGTTGTTTGCATTCTCTTTATCTTCTTTAATCCCAATACACAAGCAGTTGTCTGGACAGAAGTGAGGGAGGAAAAGAGCCCAGCTGTTGTTCTGCTCACTCAGGTTTTGCTGTTACAAGGGCCCAGTCAACAACTGGTTTTAAACATATCAGCACAACGCTTCCCACCACGGCGGAGGGACCAAGCTTCCTGTTGGGCGGCTGGGGCAGGAAATGGACCAGCTCCTTCCTTCTTGCTGGAAAAGGAAACCACAGGCAGCAGTAAAGCAGTTTGTAACCAAACTGAAGCTTTGCCTCTTGCAGACCTTCTGCCCCTTCCTAAAGCCTTAAAGCAAGTCTAGTCTTGAAGTTATGTAAGCCTCACTGATGCCCAGCACACTAACCATAACATAAACACGTCAGAGACGTGCAGGGATGTAAGGAAGCCAAGGGCTTCACAAATGAAGACAACCTGGCCAGGCGGAGCTGGATAAAAGGGCACTGCCTCTAATGCTTCTCTCTTTACCCTTTTCAATCTGTAATTTTGACCTGTTGACCCGGAATTTGAGAAGCTAAAGAAGGTTCAAGACCAACAGACCAGCCTGTAACATCTGAAAGATCCTGTTCTCAAAAGCATGTCCCAGAAACGATAAGCAAATGTTAGTCTTCTCCGTGCAAGGCAAACCGCTGCGGCAGAAAGCAAAACACCAGCAAGGGCGCAGGCGGGCAGCTCGGCCTCGTCTGGGCAGGATGTGAAATGTCAGGCCACTTGTCTCATGTTTTCACCGCAGCGGTTACGGGATGGGGTTGATGTGGGAGTGAAAAATAATACTGACTCGGGAGAATTCCTTCTTTTTCTTCAGCTTTGAGTACTGACACCCACTCGCCAGGTCTGGAAGCCAGCACACGTGACGCAGGCGAGCACTCCTTTCCCCAGCCTCCTGGCCCGGTTGTCAACAAGGCAGAAAGGGCCTGTCAGCACCCATCGGAGCCCACCCACGGTGGGGATGAGTCTCATTCCGTCCGGCTACGGTGCAGAGCTACGGTGACACTACGAAGGTAAAAAGCCCAACAATCGACACACCCACGAAATTAGAGACAAAATGAAGCCGTCAAGGCGAGACAAAACATCACAGTTATGTCCAGTGTGATGACAAACCACAGTTAATACACGGCATCTTCAGTGGACTCCTGAGTCCACTAAGTATATGCGTGGGTCTTGGCCTTTTTCTCTGTGAACATTCTGGCTTTAACCTGCATTCCCTATACAGGCTAATTTACTACAGAATTCTAGTAGCCAAGGGCGTTAGAAACAAAAGGATGCAGGTACTGCCCTGACTGGTGAGAAATGCCCACCAACACTCGAATACGCCCCTGCAGCCGGGACAGACCCTGGAATGTGTGTCTGTGGCTCCCTCCACCCGATACCTCTCTGCGGACACACTGATGAGTGACCTCAGCACAGGTGCCGCCACAGAAGGGGCGAATCATCAGCAGGACCTGGGTCCAGAGCCACTGCCTTCATCAGTGACACTGCTCCAACAAGTCTTTGTGTTGGCAGCCTGGCGTGGTCAGGATCCCAGGCAGCATCCTAGGAACCTGGTGATGGGGTGGGTGGCGATGGAAACGTCAAGTACTGGAGCTCGAACCCCATGGTCCTTGAGGTCCGGGTTCTACACTCTCTTCCTGGAATCTTTGAGTAATCTGCCTTTTGCTCTACTTTGCTCTTCTTCCTCCTGCTAAGAAGTAAAACTCAGTGTGAAGGCATCATCTTGGGTAGCTAAGGACCTGCTTCTCCCTGCTCGCACATTCCCAAGACTGAGTCTTGGAGAAGAAAGGTGAAAATAAAATCACATGCACACATGCGGTTCTACTCAAACTATGAGCTTTATTATACTTTACTCGTCATCCACCCAACACATGATGAACACGCACTTGACGTCGTTTCGTTTGTGAAATGGTAGAATGCACGTGAAGTCTCTTGTCCCATGTGAGGCTCATGTGTGCCCGGCAGAGACTCTCTCAGTGCAACTTGAACGTGAACCTGTGGGGCACCAACAGAGCTGTTCTCACGTCTGAGCTGTCGCAGACCTGCTGGAGTTTGAGGGGTCAAGACTGACACTTAGTTTGGACTTTGAGTTTCTAATTTCACATTTTTAATTAGCTTGATTGTTTTACAGTCTCCTTTACAACCAAAAGGTCACCTACTCCTACAGTCAGTCTGAGGATGGGATGTGTTATACATGACGCCATACTTCAAATTGAGCAGACAAAGAGGAGGTTTCAAGGTCACCCCTCAGGAAAAGCTGGACAAGTGTTCCATTCCCTCCAGTCTGGAAACCCAGAGCACCCCCTTCTCAGACAGATGCGGGAGTGGAATGAAGTGCTCTGTTATTCAATTGGAGGCCGGAGCTGAACGCTCCCTCTCTAACCGTGCGGCATGTGTGCCCTGCCCTGCCCTGAGCGGCCAAAACCCTCGGCACTAATAAAGCTCACCCAAACCCATGCTCCGAGAGTTAATAACAGTATGACAAAGGATACTGAAAGGGTTCAACTATAGCCCATCACTGCCTGCTAACGTACAAACCTCCCACATGTGGCAAACTTCCCAAGCATCGTGACGAAGCTCTTGCCCAATGACTGTGACCCCAGATCCACAAAGGTGGAGAAGAAAAGAATTCTGAAGCTACAGAAATATAACAGAGTAGTTTGTAGAGGAAATTAAATGATGTTGTGAAACTCATCCACATGCAGATGAAGCAAAGCAGGGAAAACTGCAGGCAGAACTGGACGGAGAATTTCTCAGGAAGCACAAATTTGAGCAAGGGCACAGCTCATAAAAATACCAATAATTTGGAATTTTCCTATAGGCACTTTAGGAAACCTGCCAACAGCAAGAAACGAGGTGACTTCAGTGCCAACAACCTGACGTACTGGCACTGAATCAATGTTCTCGAAGGAAAAGATGCTTGCGTTCTCCAGGCCCAAGGCAGCTGTGGGAGAAAAGGCTCGACCCACGGGCAGGGGACGGAGGGGAGCAGCTCAGAGCAGCTGAAATGCTTTGAGAGCTTGGACTTCAATTTGGAGAACTCAGAAGGGAGGCTGTGACATTTAAAGCAGCGAAAGCTGAACTGGAACACGTTTAAAATCTGGACCCTTGGACCTCTTACACTGCAGTAAAGACAGATGCAGACTTCCAAAGCTCCGTCTGTGCGTGTTGTAATGCTGGGTTCGGGGGTCCTTCCATACGACTAGAAAGCTGAGGCGGCACTGAGGCGGCACTGGCAGAGCCTCCGTTGTAGATGTTGGCAGCCGAGTGTCAAGGAAGTGGTTCCAGTAACCAGGCAGGAGAGCACAGCCGCCGAGGTCACCTGCTTCGACCCGGGGCATCTGGGGAGAGACGGCACCTCCACAAAACCAGCCAGACTGAACCTACGACAGACGGTGGGGTTTTTGTTTTTGTTTTCTACAGCCAGAGCCCCCACAAAACCAGCTGAGGGCAGGGAAAATAAGCAAACTGTAAGAATTCATATATCAATGTCCTTCCAAATAAAAAAAGTCTTTATTATATTTTAAATCACAGAACTCTGGGCTGAATATCATTAGAGTCACACACACACGATCATTAATTTCTGGAGTTGTCTATCATACTCTGTCTCAAAGTCTGGCCTGTGCCTCAGGGAAAATTTCCAGTTCAACCACATACACCAACTTGGAATAAAAGAAACGTGCAGAGTCTTTGGGTTTTAGCCACTGTCCCAAAGTGCTGTTAGAGATGACGATTTGTTGGGGGCCCTGTTGCTGGGTGGGAACGAGAATCAGAGGGGTGCACGCGCAGTTCTGGGTGCTGTTCAAAGGCGACTCTCCGTGCCTCCTGACCTGCAGGCCATCATCTCTTTCCCTTTAATTGTGTTGCTTTGTTTTTCTCTACAGGGGCTGCCTCACAGTTTCAATAAAAATGTATCTTCTATTCAGAATCACACCGGAGAGCAGGTGGTTTGAATGAGTCTGTACTATTACATATTAAGTTACTGAGGCTGTAGTCAAGAAATCTGAACCCTGGGGTTACAACTCGAAATAAATATTATTTCGAGGTAAATAAACAAATTACTTGGCTAGCTAAGGAAATGCTTACTCTTACAATCATAATCACAACCTGGACTTTTGCTTTATGCTGCATTCCAAGACAAAAATCAGGTATCCTACATCCTCATGACTCCCAAAGCATCCCTCCCCGCTTCTCCCCAGTGCCTGGGGAGAAAGGACTCCAGGGCCCGGAGGTCTTAGTCCCGGGCCGGAGTCGCGGTCGCTCGGTCAGGTAGAGACTGCCTCGGGTCCCGCCCTCGACTAACACCAGCTGCTTCCTCCAGTCTGACTGTGCCTCCGTGGAGGTCCCGCTCGGGGACAGCGCGGGTGTCGAATGCAGACGCCAGGGTGAGCTCAGAGGCAAGGACAACTCTGCTCACTGATTGCATCAGACGACACAACAGAACGTGGATGACAGAGCCGGCCCTCTTCTGGACGCGTCGTCATCATCTTCAGAGCCCACACGCTTCTTTTCTGATCAGGAAATCAAGGGTGAAAGGAACATTCCTGTATACTGCTCACCAACATCTTCTTCTTCACAGAAGTGAAGCTATTTTAAGAATATAAAAAGTGTTTTAAGACATCTGTTTTCAGAGACATACCACATGCCAGAAACGCTTTTCTGAGCTGGTTTGCTCGAAAGCCCAGCCCAAGAACAAGGACGGCCAACTTCTGTGAGCTACCAAGACATGTTCTGGCATGTATATTTTCACTTTCCTGGCGTTACATAATGTCTTCAAGTCCAACTATATTTGATATATATATATATATATATATCTCATCCTTTCTGTCAGCAAAAAGCGGAACAATTAAAAAAAAACTCCCAAGTTGATATTTGTGTAGACTGAAGGTAGAATTTTGGTTGGTTGTTTTTTATAACTTAGAACATGGATGAAATCAAAACGTCCCTAAATTCACAGAGTTGAAAAGTCCTTTTCCCCATTCACATGAATTCATCTGAATCGTTGCCGTCCTGTAGGAAACAAAAAAGTGAAACCATAAAAGACTTCAAAATAAATAACTCAATTTGTAAAATTTATGATTAAGTGTTAAGTAACAAGCCTCCTTATGCCTAATTGTCAGGTTCAGAAATAAGAGTAAAATGATTAAATTCACTCACAACTTTTCTATCTTACATTGGTAGTTGTTCAGAAAGGCAGTGGGCAGCCACGTCCCCTAAGGTGCCATTATGTGGCCCGGGTGACACTACAGGTGACCAGCGATGTCCACACTATGAACGAAGGCCTGACCGACCACATACAAGGTGAGACAAGAAGACACAAGCTGTCCTTCAACAGATCTGCCACGTAACACCGTGCGCCAACCATGTGCTGATACGTAAAAACATCAGGAATTTGCAAAAGTTTAGGAATTTGTCCTAAATTCCACTATGTTGAACTGCAAAGGTTGTCACATATTTGTAACTTCACAGATGGCTCTGAATTTTTTTTAAAACTAGGGAAAGTCATTAGGAAGCCACAGACTAGTTTGCTAAGTTACCTGGCTTGCCAAGTTTTTGATGATAAACCGTACACAGTTTAAATAGACTGATCTGCTTGTGTGGCTTTGGAACAAGTCCTGAAGAACAAGTATAAAAGTTGGGCCCAGAACCCCCTTTGAGACACTGCGCACGCCGAGAAAACTGCTCTGAAGGCCCACACGCTGGCGGTGTAAGTTCTGGTCCGTCTGATCGAACACGTCACAACTGGGACGTGCCGCTTGTTCCTGCTTCTCTCCCTGACCTGCTGCGGGACAGCTCAGTTGTTGGAGAAAGGACGCGTGTCCAGGGGTAGACATGCTTGTCTCCTTCTTAACAGCCTTATTTGCGGTGTGTAGGCAAATATGAGATCAGGTGGAAAACAATGGTTTCTGTGAAGTCTAGCTCAATCTCCACTTTTTTTTAAATCCATTCAATCTTTTAAATTTATTTTTATTTTTTTAAATTTTATTTAGTTATTTTTCAAGTACAGTTTTTTAGTCTATTTCTCCCATCCCAGCCCCCACCCCCCAACCCCCGCCCCGTGCTCCCCACCTCCCTCCCATTTCCACCCCCCTTAGTTCTCATCCCTGTGTCCTTCCTATTTGTTTCTCCAAATCAATCTCCAGTTTCATTCAGCAGTTTTGGGTGACAGTCTCTTCGATTAGCCCAGTAAACGAGGCCACGGTACACCAGTGTTTGTCTTCCATGCAAGCACTACAACTGTGACTGACTGCCCAGAGCGCCAAACTAAAGAGCATGAGAGAAGCGGAGCCGTCCTGCATCTCGAAGGTTAGCTTTAGATCCCGAACACCGAGAGTGAGAAACTCACCAGGAGAGGATAACTGAGGCTGGGACAATGAAAATGCATCACTCCCAATGCAGGTTGTACAACACAGTCGCAAAGAGTTCCTATGTGTCTGAGAATCTGTAATGTGGGATTACGGTAACTTTTAAATATATACCTGAGATCCAAGACTTTATTAGGACGATTTTTATATTTCAGATTCCCTTTAAGAGTCAATATGTTTTTCAATATAGCAAAAATAGGTTTTTTGTCATCCACTTATAAAATGATAAGCACATAAAATGTTAAAAGTAATTGTTTATGGTTCCTGATACCAGATTTAGAAAGACTAGAAAGAAATTACAGATTGAAGAGAATGAATCTGAATAGGAGAGCACAAACAAAATTAAAACCAGCTTCAGACGGAAAGACTAACAGTTTTCTCACTGGTAAAAGCTAAATTAAAAATTATCTTACATAAATGGCAGCATATAGCTAAAAAATCCCCTGATCGTGTTGCCGAAGATAGTTACAAGGACAATTAAAGCTTTTTCTTCTGCAGTATGGGAAAGAGTTCAGCGAGCCCTTCCAGTACAAGGAAGAATCAAAGCACCCAGCACAAAAGTTCCTTGGAAACTTGAACCAGATTCAAACCTGGAGTCAGGAACAGGGGTAGCGAGCCAACAGCGGGAGGGGGAAAGCAGAAGGATTAGTAATCCTTAGGACCACAAATCGGATTTCCCAACCCAGGAACTTGTAACATCTGTTGACAACCAGATGGAGTTTGCATATATGTGTATACTCATATGTGTGTATGTTGTGTGTTGACTCCATGATTCTAGAACAACATTAAAACTTAAAAAATCCACAATGATAGGAATGAAAATGCTTAAAATCGTAACATAACATAGGTGCCAGGTTTCTGCTGGAGAGCAGCCCTTAAGTAACAGAGACCTTTGATAAGCCACGACCACCACAGCAAGGACATGAGACTTGGGGCGTGGTGAAGGCTTCTGTCTCACTGTCAAACTACTCTACGGATTTGAAGGAACCTAATGGTTCCCAGAGGAGATTAGACACATCTCCTGTTTTAATGCTGGTATTTGGTGGGGTGATAGGAACAGGAAATAGTGATGACACTTGCACACGCAGTGATCGAGTCGGAGGAGCGTTCTCACGTGTGCCCGCGTCTGACCCTGGAGCAGCCCACGGGGCAGTGCATCTCCTTTTCGCTGCAGCTGCACACGCCCTCAGAGGTTCGGTAACCTCACTAGGCTTACTGAATTAGTAAACGACAGTTTCAGTCACTAAACTTCAAATTCAAGGCTTATTTCATTACATAATGGTGCTCTAGAATTTTTTAGGAATTATAAAGATACATCTCTGACCATAAAGAAGCCTCATTAAATTTAGTTCTTCACAGAGACAGAAATAAAGATATCGTCCTTATTAAATTTAGAAGCGTATATAGATATGAACAAGATACAATATCCTATTAACAATTCCAATTCACACACTATTTCAATATGGAGTTTGACTAGATGACCTTTAAGGGACTTTCAGTTCTGTTCATTATTTCCAAGTATTAAAGCCGTGCTGTTTAACTGTTTTACGTATGATGATGGAAATGTTCTATTTCTGCACCAATATCATAGACCCTGGCCACAAGCAGTTAGGGTGACTGAGAAACTGAATCTTCGAATCAAATCAAATTGGAATGAACTTAAATTTAATAGCCACATACGATCAGTGCCCGGTGCACTGGAGAAAACAGGTTTACAGCACCCGTTTGTGAACTGTACTGTAAAACATGCCACGTAGCACATGCACCCACTCAGTGTCAGTTCTGCGCAGAGAACTACTTAGAGTAACTAAGTGCTGACGCCAGGAAGACCCTTTCAGCACCACAATACAGACCACCGATTCCCTTCGCCCCAGGTCCTGGGGACTCACGCCGCCCATGCAGTCGCTGGACTGCAGGTAAGATCTTAGGGTCAGTCCTTCCACTTTATTTTTTAATCGAAGGTGATAAGTTTGTTGTCCCTCGACTGTAACACAGACTCCGCAGCCACGTTAATACAGAACACTGACCCGTACAGGCCCTCTGGCAGGTCTGCAGCTAGAACGGAGGGACCTGAGGCCTGGGAAAGTCCTGTGAGGACTGACAGACCCACACTTCACAACAGACAACGCATGGTACCAGGGGACCCACTTAAAAACACACACGAGGAAGTCTACCAGGAAGAGGCGGCAACGCCCAGCAGAACCCACCAAGAGCCCCATCACTGCTGACTCACATCGAGCCGCGCGCAACACGTCAGTCAGGACTGGCCAGCGCTCAAATGCCAAACACTTTTGGTGACTTATTTCAAGGAACAACATAAGAGCAAATAACTTGAGCGTACCTGATTTGAAGACATATTCTCAACTTTCATTAGTGAAGAATAGCTCCTGGAAGAAAAAAAAATTAAATAAGGTTATACAGCTGGCAAGTATTAGATGAACATTACATGTATCCAGCACTGCTGAGGGTCTTTCTTTAAAAAAAAAAACAAAAAACCCTGACCTCAGGGAAACTGCAGTATAGAAAGAATAAATATCCATGAACACTGGAGGTGCACAGCACTCCATAGGTTATGGACCGCTCACTAATACTCATTTCAAGCCCCCCCACAACAACTGTGTGGCATCACTCAAATGAGGAAATTCTATGGCCAAGAGCAGATACGATTTGCAGCTGAAGTGTACGGCCCAAACTGCGGAGGCGGGGACTTGAAGGAGGAAATGCGTCAACGTGGGCACAGTAGTGAAGGCACTCTTCTCAGATGAGGGAGGACCCAAACTGAGCCCAGTAAGTGGGGATGGGCGAGGGGGAGAGATCCGGAGGACTGTACCAACAAAGGTAAACAGATGGTATCTGTAAGGACATTTCAAACCAACTCAAGTGGTGTCTGAAAGCAAAGTAGTGGGAAATCAGGCTGAATGTGTGGGGGCCTGATTGTGTCGTCCTAACTGTGTGAGTTGACACAGTGTGACCAGCAAGAAGCCACGATACACAGTGGAGCAGAGGAGAGACCTGTGAGATTTGAGAAGTATTAAATATTCACGATATACAAGATGCTGTGCTGAGCCTGGGTGGAGGATGAGATGGGAAGAAAACAGGAAAGGATGGATAAAACAAAGCCTAGCCCCCAAAGGATTTACTATGAGGAGAAATGAGATCTATTCAACAACAGATACGCAAAGAGTTTCTATCAGAAATACATAAAGAAACAAAAGAGACATATAATACCAGCATATTAAGAAGAATAATCTGTAGCAGACAGAAGAGAGGAGGGGAGATTAAAGCAAAGACCAGTTAATAATTACAGTATTTACTTACCATTTACTAAGTATCCTTTATTTGCTAGGACCTGTGGTACATGTTTCATAAATTACTGCTAACCCTACAACCACCTTCTAGGGATTGATCTGGGAGGAACTGACCATGACATGAACAGTTTCTAGCCTGGGTGAAATAATGCTAGGACTGAGAGAAATGAGAAAGTTTGGGGCATGTTACTTTTGAAGTAATGGTGAGACATGCAAGTGAATATGAACTGTAAAAACTGAAAATTGAGGACCAGAGGGCAGAATTGTCACAGAGACAGCAAGCTGGGAGAAGGCACCCAGAGGGAGGTATTAGTAACATTAAGTGGTATCTATGAGAAATAAGTAAACAGATAAGATCATAAGCCGCATGAGAGGAAAGAGAAAGATATGTTGATTCAAAAGTGGTCAGAACAGAAAATCCCAACCCTGGCTGCATTTTAAAATCACCTGTGGAGATTAAAATATATTCAGATGTCCCACTGTGGGCGTCTACAACCTTGGTTCAAGGACCACTGTGTCTAAATCCCCACTTAATGAAGGAGACACACAATTTACCCTTCTTTAGGTCACGCATTTCCTCTGAGCTCCATCTATCCCATCAATTCAAGTGCCTGTCTGACATTTTCTGGATGCCTCAAAGCTATTTCCAGATTCACATACCCACACCCAATTCACGGTCTTCCCCACTACCAAGGATGGCTGGGTTCTTTCCAGTATCCCCCGCCCCACCCAGCCAGCTCAAAGAATTGCATAGCTTTTCATTCCACGAAGGGAACTGCTTCTTCCCCTGCCTCTCCCCTCAATCCAATCTATTTTCATTCAAATCCTGTCCTTTTATCTACAGAACCACTTGTCATTAATCCCAGTTGCTCCACCCCCACATGGCCACCACAGTCCTAGCACTGCCTTTCACCAGGACAAAGGCAATAGCTTCCTACCGGGCCTAGCCACGCCCACCTGCTTCCCTTTCCTTTCAGGTCAGAGAAGTAACCTCTCCAAATCACAAACTGTACCATGCTACCCCTTGCTTAATGACCTCATCGAACTCTCCGGATGAAGACAAACATGGTCAATGAGGCCCCACACTGACTGGCACCTCAGCCCAGTGACCCTGCAGGCCAGCTGCTCCAAACACGTGGGCTTACTTTCAGTCCTGTTTGCCTTGCTCCCTCCGCATTGGGTCTCTGCCACAGAGTTCCCTCTGCTTAGAGCACCCTTCCCACCCCAGCCCCACACCCTTTAACTAGCAGTGTTGATTTAGCTCAAGAACCACTGACAGCATCAGGGAAGCTAATCTCCGTTATTTACTCATCCATAATAGCTGACTACTCACTTAACTGCATATGCAAAGCACTGGGTCACATGTAAGGGGATACAGGATGCATATAAGTGTTTGTTTGAAGGAGCTTATCATCAAGATGAAGAGCTATGGTACCCAGCATTGTTTATAGAAGGCAGCAGCAGTAGTGTGTCAGAACAAAGGGAGGTACCATTAAAACAGTCATTGTCATCCTTTTAATCCCTGGTCTCATCATTACCTCTTCCTGCATGTTGCCACTAAACGCATCATCCTTACAAGCCTACTTCTTTCTGACAGCTCAAAAAACCAATAATGGCTCCTTATCACTTACAACGTGAAGTTTTGGACTGAACAAAACCTTTCACTCTCTTTATTTCCCTGTGCATGACCTTGACTCTGGTCTTGATAACTTGTTCATTCCTTGCCTTACAGGCTGCATGGTATAGCAGATGTATGGACTTTAGAATCAGACTTGAGTTTGAATTCCTGCTTTAACGCTTATCAACTATAACCTTTTATTTGTCACACATTAACCCCCCTGCAGAAGCGATCTTTGCCCCCAAATCAAGTTCACATCAAGGTTCAAACTGATGACACATGAACCTGTGTGACTTGCCATCTCACCTGGGTCTCATCCTTCTCTGACTCCCATCACCGGACCTCCCAGACTCCCACTTGAATCACCCCTGCCTCAGGCTGCCAGCATCCCACCCTTTGTCCTTTCTGATCTGTTACTCGATTATCCTCCACTAACTACACTTCCCTGACTCTTATTTCAATATCCACATGGTGAGCTTGATTCTGATGTTAATAAAGTTTGCTACAATACCACAAAAGCCCAGTAGGAGAAAACAAAATTAAAATAGGGCAGGCAAGCTTTCACTGGGTTACATCACCGGATGGAACCACTGAGGACTTATAAGCACTTTGCTACCATAACTTGTTGGGCTCCTAAACCACCCGCAGAGCAAGCAAACGCCCCTTCGCTAATTGCACTGTTTGATAATCAGACTCTTTGCACTGCCGATAAATAACACTCCCTGTACTGGAACTGTGTGACCAAGAAAACCTTTTTGCTCAACATGCCTGGGCTGGAACTAGGATGTCCACAAACGCTTCATCACATGTTGCCCATTCTTCTTATCACACAACCCACCTAACCACCGAGCCAGCCAGCCATTTGCCCGCACCCGTCAGAAAACAAATGATGTGAGTCTGTGGTCTCCTTCCCCCAGCAAACCATCTCTCCCATCGTCAGCCCCTCGCAGCTTGTCTTCAGGAACCGTGCCCTACCCACATGCCCACACCCCTCCCCACATCCCGTCCAGGGGTGTGTTCTCAGTTCACACCGAGGGCTATGTTCCCTGGTTTGCAAATCATCATCTGAATAAAACTTTTAAACTTCTCCAAAGGAGCCTCCGGACTTTTGTGTATGCACGAATTCGGCTCCTCAGACGACACGACTTCCTGTGACTCACCGAGGGCACGCTCCCCAGCGTGTCGGGAAGAGACGGGACCCTCTACAGGTTGGGCGTGCTGTGTCTGTGTCCACCTGCACTAGCATGAATATTTATCTTTCATTGACTTTACTTCCACTCCTTTTTCACACTTTGCCCAGCTCTAAGCAATAACATCCATCAAGCCACAGGTAGGACTGGGCTTTAAAATACTCATTAAAATAATTAAGTAACTGAAAACACGTCAGTGGACATGCTGCCTAACTCCTTGCATGTGCCACCAGTGATATTCTCGCCACACCTGGAGTGACCTGATCCTGAGCTGACTGTCGACTTACGTGAGTGAACAACAAAACGATCACTCTCTCTCTCTCTCTCTCTCTCTCTCTCTCACACACACACACACACACACACACATACACGCCCTCCCTGTGTGTACGGGACACCAATGGGCACCAGCCTGAAGGGCTTCTCCGAAAGCCCACTGTCCGAAACCAAACACAGACTGAAGCAGAGATGTCCTGCCTCCCTAACTCTCCAGGGAAGACCACTTCCCAGACTCCAAAGACTTTCAAAATCTAGGCTGAGTCTCTTCTGCCTTCTCTGAACTCTGTATGGCTTCCAGCAGAGCAGGCATTCCTCCCCACACCCAGGCCCCAGCAAAGATTCTCTACACTAATACCCCACTAGCTCTCAGGCTGACAGGGCAAATATGAGCTAAAGAGCCAATGAACAATATGGGTAAGTGAGAATGTTAAGTCTAAGGAAGGGACAATTTTCATTATTGTTTAAATGAATAAAATGATTAACAGAAGGTGTTAATATACTGCTACTACCTAACCTTCCAACAACCCAAATATTCCTAAACACTACCTAAAAAGGGATGAGCAGTATGTAGGCTTCCCACGATCAGACCGTTAACAACTTCTGCACCCCGAGGACACGGAGTACAGCGCCTGTGTGCGAGGACCCGGGGCAGCTCAGGGGCTCTGCCCTTGTAAGCAGAGAAGGCAGGCAGCGCCCTCTCTGCTGTGGGCGTCCCTCTGTTCACATCTGGGCAAAGGGCTGATGGACAGGACCCCGACTAGAGCTCAAAGACCCTGGACTCTACGAGAACACTTCCACCCATTTCTGCCCCTTGTAAAAACCAGAAATAGAAAGCTTTCTGTCATTCATGTTCAGAAAGTTAGAATGGAGTCCAGAGTATAAATAATAGTGTTAGACTTGGAAAGAAGTTGGAATGTAGCTCTTCAGAATACCGGCATAAGTACTTTTTCACTGAAATCATATGGCAACACAGGGGGTACTGCCTGGGATAAGAATATTTTCTTGATTTATCTGTGGACCCCCCAAAGATTCAAAAGTCAATTTCTTAAGCAAGCACAGCGACTAAAGCGGACATTCCTTACCAGATGGTCCAAATAAAAGAGTCAATAGTTGGTGAAATTCAATGGTATTTTCACTGTCAAAAAGCCAAGTGAAAGACTTTTAGAACGGGAAGATTTTACAGGCATAGCATTTGATCTCTCGGGTGGAAGAGTCAAAATTCAAGTGATGCCAGCACCAGGAATGCAAACGCGGATTAAACAACATCAGGAGCCTGAATGTGTAGCTGGAATTTCACAAAAGCTGCAGAGGACGGCATGCAGAGGACCGCAGCTCTGCACGCGCCAAGCAAACCTCTGGCACGCGGGCGCCCCGGTTCCTCACGCTGCAGCCCTGCTCACGCCCTCCCACTTCAGGCAGCACGTGGAGGTCGTATCTGCGGCACATGTTTCACAGAAATAAACACACCAACTGTTTCTGGTTTTCTGAGGCCCACGATAATTTATTAAAAACGAAGCAGAAGGGATAAACCTGCATAGGAAAACGTGGACTAGAAGAGTGACTGCAATTTATCCCACTTACATTTTCCTTTTTATATACGTGCACCAGAGTGATGTAAAAATCTGCCTGAAGAAGCAAAAGGAAAAACTGCAAGTGTTTAGATGCAGCTTAGAAAATGGGAACGATGAGTAATCCAGGTTTCAAGGAAACCGGCTCAGAGCAGGGCGGGAGAGCTCACTTTGACACTGCACCATTCCCAAAGGGAGCGACACGCCGCAACCTCTTTTGCTTTTTGGTGTACTTAACATGAGATATCTATGGGCAACTGTGGGAAAACCTAGGATTCTGTGACTGGAAGTCACAGGATCAACTTCCTTTTTTCACTGAGAAAAATGAGAAGCCTCTTCAGGTAGAGAACTGTATACATCCATACAGCTCAGTGCGGCCGGCAGAACAATGATCTCCCCCGCCAAAGAGGTCCACGGGTTCACGCCCAGGACCCATGGATACGTTGCCTCAAATGGCAAAGGGACTACCTTGCAGAGGTGATTAAAGATCTTAAATGGGGAGATACTGCCATGGATTATCTGGGTGAACGCAAGGTCACCATGTTGGAACTCAAAAGCAGAGAAGCTATGATCGAAGAAGGGGCCGTGACTGTGGAAGAAAGGCCAGACATGTGCTGCTGCTGGCTTTGCAGGTGGAAGGAAGGGTGAAAAGCCAAGAACTTTCTTTTCCAGTCCTTAGAGGTGGGCAGCCTCTAAGGGCTGGAAAAGAAAACAGAGTCTCCCTCGAGCTCCAGAGAGGAACACACCCCAGCCGACGCCTGGGTTTGAGCCCGGTGAGAACCACATCAAACTTTGAACGTACAGGACTATAAAATAATAGACCTACGTTGTTTTAGGCCACTAAATTTGTGGTAGTTTGTTATAACAGCAATAGAAAACTAATATCGTCAAGTGTTCTCATGGCCTTACACACTAGAATTTCAAGATCCAAATTATATTTTAACTACTATTTATTATTTTTAAATGCAGCGTTTTGGAGCAGACCTCACTGCATTCATTGCTTTAAACTTTGAAAATGTAAAAGAGAGGTTTTAAAAACAACCTTTCAGAGACACTTGCACTGGCCTTTAGAGCTGAAACGACAATTTAAATATCGTAGTTTGTCAATGTCAAACAGTTAATATAGCATCCCTTCTTCTTCCGAAGATGTTTACAAACACTTTCAAGATTACTCATGATTGTTTCTCCAAGAATAAAATAAGCTATTTTATTGTATATACTCTCGCATATCTTGCTGCTATAGAAGGCCCATTCGCTTGATCAACACATTCATATAAATGTCTTCAGTCATTTAAAGCTAGGCTTGTTATACATATAACAAGCTCAGTATATCATTCCCCCACTAGTATATCATTCTTACAGGCTAATCCTTGACTAAAGTCACAGTGAAGCCTCCTCAAGGTCAATACCAATTCCACAGCTCTAACGTACCTAAGTTCGTCCATTTCTCTCTTCTTCTTCATCTCCTCCTTTTCTCTCCTCTTCATTTCCTGAATCTGGGCTTTTTTCTCATTCCTCTCCTCACGGTCTCTGCATTCCTTCTCCGCCGCAAGGTCTGGGAACCGCTCCGTTTTAGTCTTTTCTAATCGGTTCAAGATCTCATTCACTTTCTTCTCCACTGTCACAATTTTCACCTTTGAAGGAGAGGAGGAATAAGAGTGAATCTTTACTATATGGTTATCCCTCAGAACAGGGGACAGGCTTTCCAGGGGCTTAGCAACCCAGCTGACCTCCCTCTGGAAAACACACATCACATGCTGAGAACTCAAGGGCAGAAACGTCAGACAGAACCCACGCTGCTCCACTCGGTGGCAGGACCCCGCCTCCCTCGGTGGCGCAGGACACTCACATCCTTCTGCCTGTGAAAGCCTATCTGCCCCACGTCCATGTCGGCTGTCTTCTTCAGGTTGGACCACGGTGTGTACACCACATTAACGTTGTTCATCTTGCAGCCTGCCAAGAGAGACGGTCGTCAACGCGCAGGCAGGATGACACAGAGCAAAGTGTCAAATTTACCCACTGGAGAGTCACAGAAATCCAACGAAGGAAGAAGCTTAGGATGAACAAGGCATCAAGTGGTTCAAACCATGAAATACTTAAAAAAAAAAAAAACCCCACAAAAGGCCAATGGTAAAGTTGACAAACACAATTCAAGCAAAAGTATTACAGTGGGGGCCAGGGTTCACTTCAGGGACTTCTGAGACTCACTGGAATTGAATGCAAAGTTATTAAATGCATGTTACGGAGAAAATGCCCAAACAGGCGTGCTCAGATTCTCACAAGGAGTCCTTGGTCCATTAAAGGTTAAGCAGCAAGACGAAGCAAAAAGTCACGGCCTGGGATCCAGAGACTGGCGCTCCGTCCTGGCCCTACCGCACACCAGCAGTGTCACTCTGGGCAAGTCCCCATGCTCTTGCAGTGAGGAAACCCAACAGCAGAGTAAAACTGTGGGTTTTTTTTGTTTGTTTCTTTTAGCAATGGAACCTCTTTTGCCAAAGATCCAGATGAAAGGGAAGCCAGGCCCCGTGTGCTCCTCCTCCTCCTCCTGCCCCCCCCCCCCCCCCCCCCCGCCACTGCCCTTCTACATTCACAGCCTCCAGGCAGCTCACAGAATCAGTTTAATCGCTGGTCCAACACTCTTTAAAGCCCTTTGATATTAGACGGCAAATTACTTTATAGTTTATTAAATCACTCCATACACGGGAGAAATCTGATGACCACCATGTCCTTCGCTTATAAAGTATTCCTGCCTGAGAATTCATGGCGCTATCCTACTCAACAGGAAGTACCAGACTGATCCGTATGGTGGGATGTTCTACAACGGGTCTCCACTCTAACAAAGTCCACGTCCTGAAAGACAAAGAGGTGCTTCCAGATAAAAGAGACTAGAGACATGACAAGGAAAGGGAACTCGAGATCCTGGATCAGAAAAAAACACTACAGAGGGATGGGGGGGGGGGAAACTGGGAAAACCTATGTACAGACTGTGTTTCAGGTAACGGTGTCTGATCCATGTTAAATTTCCTTAATTGATCACTGTAATGCAGTTACTGAAGAAAATATCCTTGTTCTTAGGACAGAAATGATGAGTGTGATCTACAGTTTTCTTTTATATGATTCAGCTAAAAAAGTTAATCATGAGTGTGTTACAGACAGAAAGGAAATATAGAAAAATTGTTGAATTTAAGTGAAGAGTATACAAGAGCTGTTTTTCTTGCAACTTTTCTGTAGGTTTGAGATTTTTCAAAATTGAGTTTTTAACAAATCTCCAACGTGCAAGGAGGATACAGTCATGGACTGGACAAGGGATCGTGCCTTCTACGACTAAAGGAGGGCAGAAAAGTACAGGAATAACTGCAGTTGGAAGCAGAACTCACCAAATATCGGAAAGGTTCAGGTGACGTGCTAAGGTGATACAGAGGGGCGGTGGGCACTCAAAGGGAGGAAGGGAGCGGCTCCATGAGAGGGCTGCACAGCTTAGTGGGTCAGACAGAAGACTTCAAGTCAGACGGTCTGACTTCAAATGCAGCCTCTGTTGCATGTCAGAGCTCTGACACCTTGGGCTAAGTTCCTTAATTCTCTTTAAGCTCTGCTTCCCCATCTATAAAATGACAATAATCATCTCCAATTTATCTGGTTGATAAATGGAACAGTTTGTAAAATGCTAGAAATATAATTAAGATTCAATGTTAGCAATTACCACAACTATTATGCGGACCTTGAACCTGAGCTTGGATCTGGACTTGTGATGACTGACAAGAAATACAAAACTGAGAGCAGAGGGAACGATACAGTCTTGCGCCATATAACAATGTTTTGGTCACTGACAAACTGCCTATGACAGTTGTTCCATAAGATTATAATGAAGCTGAAAATTTTCTATCGCCTACTGATATATAATTGGCATTTGGAAGAAGATGCTCAAAAGGGTTCATCCATGACTTCTTTTTTTTAAATTTATTTTATTGCTTATGCCATTACATTTGTTCTATCTCCCCCCACTTCATTCCCCTCCACCCTGCACACCCCTCCCCCACCATTCCCCCTTCCATGACTTCTAGAAGTTTGCCAAGGACCAGGAGGTTGCAAAAAATCAACAAGGCTGTGGTTGAGACGGCAGCCAACTTTAACCTGGGCATGGGTGAGGGTGACATTGAGGAGTCCTAGAGGTGGCTGCTGAGGAGGTGACTAATGAGGGGTAATTGGAACTGGAACAGGAATGCATAGCTGAAGAAGAGGCAAGAGAACAGGAACCTTCAGAATAAGAAAACAAAGAACTCCCAAGAAAATTCGCAATGAAGGAGAGTGTAGCAGAAGCTTTTGCAAACTTTAGTAAGATCCTTAAAAAGTTAGAAAACATGGACCCCCAACATGGAAAGGTTTCCATTAATAGAGAAGGATATTTATGGTGCATTATCTGCTTATAAGCAAATCTGTGTTGAAAAAAAAAACCACCAAGCAAACACCATGGGCCTTTTTCTGAAAAGATATCTCAAGAAGAGCCTCGGGCAGGCCCCCCAGGAGGTGGTCCAGGGGAAGGCAGAGCTATATCACAGGAGACACCAGTTCTGTGCGTGTTACTGCACCTGAAGACCCTCCCGTGGGACAAGACGTGGAGGTGGGACATGGTGACACTGGAGACCCCAACTCTGTGTGGGCCTAGGCTAATGTGTATATTAGTGTCTTTGTTTCTAACAAGAAGTTTAAAAAGTAAAAAAAAATTCTTTAATAAATTAAAAATGGAAAGAAGCTTATAAAATAAGATTATATAAAAATTTTTTTGTACTGCTGTAGTGTGTATTTTGAGCTATTATTACAAAGAGTTAAAAGTCAAAAAATTAAAGCTATAGTAAGCTAAGGTTACACTGAAGAAAGATATTTTTTATGAACTCAGTGCAGCAAAGGGCACAGATTTACAAAAGCCGCAGCAGCACACAGCAGCCTTCTGGGCCTTTGCTCGCCCAGTCACTCACTCGGGGCAACTTCCAGGTGCTTCCTGAAAGCTCCATTCACGCTGAGTGCCCTACATAGGTTTGCCAATTTTTACCTCTTATACCACATTTTTTACTGTACCATTTTTATGTTTAGATGTACCAATACTTGCAATTGTGTTACAATTGCCTGCACTATTCACTAGATTAACACGCTGTGCAGGTTTCCAGCCCAGGAGCAATAAGCTACATGTGTAGGAGGCTTCACTGTCCAGGTTTGTGGAAATTCACTGTACAGTGTTTATACAACCATAAAACCGCCTAACGATGCATTTCTCAGAACGTATCCCCATCGTTAAGCGACACATGACTATAAAAGCAAAGGCGCAAGGTGGGAAAACAGCAAATACTTGCTTTGGCCAGAGTGTGAAATATGTGAAGGGAAAAGAGTCCTGTAGTCAGATCAAAGATGCTTAAACTGCCAGCGTAAGAAGTTTGGACTTAAGTGTATAGACAAGGTGGGTTGTCATGAAAAGTGTCCAAACTTCTAGAAAGTTTAATCTGGAAAGAGAGTAGAAGACGAAGAGAAAAAAATCAGGATCACCAGATTTTATGAAGACAAACCAGCTGAACCGCACCTGCCTTGATTCTGAAGGTGGAAGGCGGTCAAGCGCGGAGGAAAATATTTTAACTCCACACAAATGGAGTGTACTTCCCAAATCGCACGGCAAAGACACTCTCCACTCCTCGGCATCCTCTGCTACTCACTCACAACAGCAAAGACTCTTTAGGCCCAGCTCCTTTCTCTGCTAAGTGAGACACGGCTGTGAAAAGGGGCCCAGGAGTGAAGAGTAATTCTATGTCAAGACTTCTTTTCCTGTTTTCTCTAAAACTAGTAACCTATAAATGGATTAAGAAGAAAGAGGCTGGGCCAAAAAGCCCCTTTAAGAAAGTCACATCTGCTAGCCAGGGCAGAAGAGGTTGCAACACACAAGGAAAGAAGATAATGATGGTTTTAATTTACACCATTTTTAATGTCAATAACTGAGTATCTTAACTGGAAATCTTAGACACTGTTCTACTAATGAAAATGGAATGTCCTACCCTGGCCAAGTGGCTCAGTTGGTTGGAGCTTTGTCCCATACACCAAAAGGTTGTGGGTTCGATTCCCCATCAGAGAACATACCCAGGTTGAGGGTTCGATCCCTGGTCAGGGTGCGTATGGGAGGCAACAGATAGATGTTTCTCTCTCAGGTCAATGTTTCTCTCCCCCCACCTTCCTCTCTCTCTAAAATCAATACACATATCCTCAGTGAGGACTAAAAATTTTAAGAAAGGAATGTGCAACTTAATGATTTATGGAGTTAAAAGAAAGTCAGTGGCTCTACAAGACTAGACTTCCACTTTCTTCGACTTGGTACCTGAAGCATTGAGGCTGCTTGAGTTAGACTCGGAAAACAGTCTACATGATGGGGAAGAGGGTACACCCTCCAGCTCCTGTTTGGTAATACCAGCCCCTGGTACCTGCTGTTGGCTATGAGTCTGCCCCATGCCATCTTCTACCCAAACCTTCTTTCTTCCCAACCCTCTGGCTCTTCCTCCAACTTCATATCAAACCAAACTTACCTCTCCCCTATGCAGGTCTGTATCCTATTCCTAAAATCCAATCTACTAACTCAAACATTCTTAGCAGAACGTGATCTCCTGGCTCCCCTTTTAACTCCCACCTCCACGTCGGTAACCGTCCTTCTTAACCCACACTACTCACAGGTTAAGTCTTGTACAGTAGAAATAAAGCTCCACGCCCAGCATCGCAGGCCCTTCCTAAAACACTTCACACCCACTGTTCTCCATCCCTCTCTGCACCTCAGAACCAGGAGAGCACTGGCAGCAGCTGATACTCCCGGATTACCCCAGATCAGATGAACCAGACGCTCCCAGAGATAAAAATCAACTGAGCTGATGATACCTTCAGTTTACAAAAGTCAGCGAGAAAGGAAGAAGAAAAAGCAGGAAAAGAGTGGTTTGGAGATTTGAGTTCTAGTATCTAATGACAAACAGTGGAAATAAAGACACCAAACAACATTTAAAATAAAGCCATAAGACACATTTTTTCCTTAGCTATTAACATTACCTGATTTCCAAAAGTCTCTCTACAAATAACCTTAAAAGTAGGCAGGTATGGACAACCTACTATTCAAGGTAAGAAAAACAAAAGAAGGTGAAAAAGAGTCAAGATGGGGCTGTAAACATGAGAGGGGAGGAGAGATTAGTCTTTAGTTCTTTAATAGGTAGCAGAACTGCCATCTTAAAGAACAAGTTAGTCCTTTGACTCAAGCCAAAGTCAGGAACATGTTCCCTAAAATGTAATCCATTTCAGACACAGAGAAATCAGTGCTAATTCTGAAAACACTTCTAAGAGAACTGACCTTGGATGCTATTGGCCTTCACAAGATGGGCACAATCCATTAATACTTCCTTTGGAATGTCTTCTATCTTCTCCCCCTGAAACACAAAAGTAGACCAAATGGGCCAGGACTTCGCTACTGATGGACACCAGAGCACTCACTGGGCTTTGCTGCCTCAGCAGGCACAATGTTACTAAAAGCAGGGGCTCTTTAACTGTATTTCAGAGCACTGAAAAATGAAGTGTTACAGGAGCATTTTAAACTAAGAAGGCAGTAATACAGAAAATATTGATACATAAGTGAAAAATACCAACAGAGGGTATAAATGAAAACTACTAAAATACTAACTGTAATTACGTCTGAGTAATGTCTCCCTCTTTCTTCTCATTCTTACTTCTGGAAACCTTGTGGGGAAGGTTTCTAGACAACTGGGTGTGTTCTTAGCTGAGGTCCCTTAGGACCTTCCTCTCAAAAAGACTTAGTTTTGAATCTCAAACATCTATCCTCGGCCCTAATCAGGAAGCAAGTTCTTGGTGTGTTAAATAAAACCACCCACCGTAAGGGAGAAATAATATTGATTCTTTCCTCTACAGATACTGTATCAAAGTCAAAGCTGAATAAGCAAAGCCTTTCCAGAAGAACAAAAATATCTGAGGCCAGAGCAAATGGAGTCAGTCAGTACTGACTCCTACCAGGCATGGGATTACAGAAGCACTTCTGTCTGGGAAAGAAATGTTCTACCTACATAAATATTTTAGATAAATTAAGGGTGTTCCATTATGTTTTTACACTTGGGTTTTTTTGGTGTGTTTATATTAAATGTTTTAAATGGGAATCTCTCAAATACATAAATTTTGACCCCAAATGACATGATTAACATTTGTCCCTACTTGAAAGATAGATCTTGAGCCCTGACTGGGCAGCTCAGTTGATTAAAGTGTCATCCCAATATGTCAAGGTTGTGGGTTCAATCCCCGGTCAGGGCATATACAAAAATCAACCTGTCAATGCATAAATGAATGGAATAAGAAATATCTCTCTCTCCTCTCAAATCAATATTTTAAAAAAATTTTTAAAAAGGTATATCTCGTCCTATGCAACTCCCTAACCACAGAGAGGATTCTGAATTTAATATCTTGACAACATAGTGTCATCATTATGAATATCAACCATTATACTAGGCTATAATATGGTAATAATGACGCATTCAGGGGCTTTTTATGATAACACGGGAGCTGACTGACCCTATGCTAAATAAATAAAAATGAATAATTAAAAAACACAACAAGAGCTACCAGTTTCTGAGTACCCACCACATGCCAGGTACTATGTAAATAGACATATGAAATGCACAGTAAGTATTAACTTCATTTTACCAATGAAGAAAATGAAGCCCAATGAGGTTAAGAAACTGGGCCAATGTCCCATATATCTAGTTAAGCGGCAGAGCAAAGAGATAAACCCAGGACTAGAACCATGCTCTGAGAACTGGGCCCAGGGTACGGGCCCAGTTTTTTACGGATTCTGTGAAAACGGTTTCTTGGCCTTGACGTCAGGTCATGTCCCGACATCCCTCCTTACAGCCTAGGCCGTCACTATTCCTGAAGCACTCTCCACTTCCTGTTTTGCAACTTCTAATACAATACGAGCAGGAAAAAACTCATTCAGCTTAGCATTATCCATAAAATCAGAGTAAACAAACTAAGTGGAGAGAGGTTAAAATACTCTCAAAATGAAAAGGTCAAAATTTCAACTGTGGACTTTGTGCCATCTATCTTAATAAGATAAGAAACCTCTAGATAAGTGAGACATTTTTTATGGGTTTTCAAAAATCAAAAAGCCTAGGAAAGAGCACAGCTGAACATCTATGATCTTCAAGGTTGGGGATGAATCCAACTGAATTCAATAAGAAAGAATTAACACATATAAGTGCTTAGCATGTGCCAGGCATTATTCTAAGTGCTTGAGATAGGCAAGCTCATTTCACCCTCACAGGGACCCAATAGGATAGGTACTGTTAGCTCCCTTGTACAGATGACAAAATAAGCCACGTTGAGTAATTTGCTTTAAGTCACATAGCAAGGAGCAGAGCCAGGGTTCACACCCAGAGTCTGGGTTCCGAACCACTCAGCCCGACTGCATCCCCAACACTTAGTGGGCACCTACTAGGTACAAAGGGCTATGCCGTTTACTGCAGGACATGAACCAGGTGAGAGTTCCTTAGAGAGAATATATTTTTAGTGAGCACATTGTGTGCTTCCAAAAGAAAATAACACTGAAACTTCTTTTCAAAGAAGCACCATATCGTGCTGTGTATAATGCTCACTTTGCCCAAATTTCTGAAGGAAAAATAAGGATGCCCATTATACATGGGTATGATGATTACATACCATGGGCATAATAACCCCGTGTATAATGCGCACCAAAACGTGTGTGTACTGTACATGGCGAGATACGGTGACAACTGGTGCTAATGTGAACTTGGGACAACCAGCATTACTGCCATTTTGTAACACAGCAGAACCCAAAGGAAAATCTTTAATGTGAACCAAAAGGAAAGGTGGTAACACCATACTGTACCCCAATGAAAGAGCATCAAGTGTTTACTAAAATGGTAAAAGGTTGTTGTTGTTTTTAATTACAGAATTCCCCAAAGTGTTGGGAAAACGTATAACTATCAGACAGCATTTTCAATGAGCAGAATACTTTCAGAGAGTAATCTGGCACAAAAAGAGTTATCCAATTGTTTAGACCTTTTGACCCAGTAATTCCACTTCTGAGAATTACTATAAAAAATAATTCAAAAGAAAAACACAGCAGTTCATAAAAAGGTATTTCTTGTTGGACGGTCATGATGCTAAAAACTATAAATAGCCTAAATTTTGATATAAGCTTTCATTAACTGTGGCACATTGCCAACTCAAAGCAGTTAGCTGAAAAAAATAAAAAAGTAACATGAAAAAGTTTATAAACAGTCACTTTAAACAATCAACCAGGGGCCGCCAGGACAGCACGCCGACCGAGACAAAGAATCGAGCTGTATCACGAGTGTGCGACACAACGTCACGGAAGGGTCTGGGGGTGGGAGAGCTTCTCAGTAACTTTGAAAAGCTGGTTTGACTGGAAACTACAAGGCAAAAAAACAAAACAAAAAACTGCGCACACTGTACATTAGTTGATAAAGTTGTTTCATATGGGTTAACAAATCTGAAACCACTTGCACGTACACAGGAGTCAAACTAACCATGGAAATGGTGGGGGAGCAGGCGGCTCACTGTCTGAGGGGGACTGACAGATAAGCGAGGCGGAAGGGCCGGAATGGATTTGTCAGACACTTTTGTACGAGCTCGTGTTTAGCTTAGTGTGGATACAGCTGGAGAGATACAGAAACGGCTGTTCAGACGTGGAGGCACGGGCTGGTACCCATGCACGTGTCTCCAACTCTGGGTCAGGTGAGAGGGCCTCTGTGCGATTCTTGCCCCCAAACCTGCGGCTCCAGTCTATGCCTGGCAAAAGCAGCAGAAAATTCCAATAGAAAATACTGACCAATGCTTCTCAAACAAACTGTCAAGGTCATGAAAAATAGGGAAAGAGTGGGAAACTGTCGGAGACCAAAGACTAGACAGACATGGCAACTAAATGCAAGTGGACCCTGGACTGGATCCTAGAACAGAAAGAGAAAGTTTATGGAAAAACTGATGAACTCAAAATGGAGCCTGTAGTTTAGTTCATAGTAATGCACCAGTGTTGGTTTCTAGGTTCTGACTAATCCACCATAGTAAAGTAAGATGCTAACAGTGAGGGAAACTGGGTGTGCAGCATGTGGCGATTCTGTGCTCTCTTAGCAACTTTTCTGTAAATCTAAAATTAGTCCAAAATAAAACATTTTAAAAAGCAGTACATATAACAAGTATAGACATGCTATGATTCAACTATATAAAATATAACATATGCCCTGGCTGGTTGGTGTAGCTCAGTGGATTAAGTGCCCACCTGTAAACCAAAGGGTCACCAGCCGGTTTGATCCCAGTCAGGGCACATGACTGGGTTGCAGGCCAGGTCCCCAGTAGGGGGTGTGCAAGAGGCAACCACACACTGATGTTTCTCTCCCTCTTTCCTTCCCTTCTGCTTTCTCTAAAAATAAACGAATTTTTAAAAAAATAATAAAAAATAACACAGAGATGTAAAGACACACTAGAAAAGTAGGGGTTTTACGTTATTAGGGAAGATCACATTTTTTCCCTTTACTACTTTTGCGAGGTTTTAAACCTCCCAAAGCCCCTGATAACTGGGAACATCTGCCCTTGGTGAGGCAGGAAAATCATATGAGCTTGAAAAAAAGGAACCGCAGCGTGATCTCCAATGGCGAAGGCAGTAAGTACAACAGTGTCAACTGAAATGAAAGGGTCAGAAAGCAGAGGTGACAGACAACACACTTGACCTGGCCGGACACGGCAGTGCTTCTACCTGGGAAATAAGTACTACGTCCAAGTCTCAAAAATCAGCAGACTTTTCCTGACTGATTATCTGGGTCACGGGGAGACAGCTCTTAATTTGCTAATTTCAGACTTCTGTACATATTACTTTAAGCAATTCAGCTGCAGAAAAAAGGAGAGGACAAGATGTGATGCTCATCACTAAAGAAAAAGTCACGAATCCATGTTTAAGTCCAGTTACCTTATGTAATCGAAGGTATACATGAGCCGAAGAGATTTTGTCCACATGAAACCTACAAAGAATGAAAACCACTTTTAGCAGGAGGTACAAGACAGCCATCTCCTCGGGCCGTTTGCATTTAAAGCATTCCTATCCGGAAAGTATTAACTCAGTGCCTAAGCACCATGGGGAGTATAAAACACAGTCACCACCTCCACAGGGCCCACCACCAACTGGGAGAGATAAGATGCACATGGAAAGCCCTCAGCTGGGCGGGACTAAGGTGGGACTAAGTGTCCAGATGAGCACAGGAGGCAGTAAATGTTACAGCCCTGGGACGGGTGCTAATTTAAGTGAGACAGACCTGCCAGGGACCAAAGGCTTCCCCAGCAATCTGAGACTTGGTGGGCCCCTGACTGAAGCACAGGACTTAGAGAAAACAGGGAAAGGAATTTCAGTTGAGAAGAGAGGGGAAGGAGAGCAGCCCGCAAGACTCCAGTGCCACGATCCTGGGAGACTTGCTGGACCACCGACAGAAACACCTCGCAGCTGGAGACGGCACCAGTTTAGAGAAAGAGATGGGACGTCCCGAGTTCCAAGCAATGGCAAAACAAAGAGAATGCCAAGCAGAGTTGGAAGAGTAGGTGAGGAGTGAAGGCAGTAAACAGGCACATCAGAAAAGGGGTCAGTCCAACCCTGCATCCAGCCTTAAACCCAGCGATGGCACTAACATGTGTCTCCTGGGACAGCATGGTGACTGCCCTTTATGACGTGGTCTTAAAAACATTCTGAATGCCCACCCACCCCAATGTCCAAAATTTAACTTCCATTAAGACTCTATCATCCACCAATTTCATTAAATCTTTTAAAATGTACTTTCTTTCTCACTTGGTCGAACACCTTGGTTTATTAAGTTTTTCATACTCACAACTGACCAAATGAAGTTGACTTTCTCTTTGCGACACCCAGAGATGTCCCAGAACTCCAGCACCAAACAACAATAACACATGACTGTTGCTGAGTTAACTTTAGCCATCTCCTCCTTGGTCCTGACCTTCCCAGATTGAAGGCTGTGTGGTCAAACTCTAGGGAGCACCGTTACCTACCATCACATACCTCTCTAGGCACTTCCTTAGCATTAATGCATTTTTTAGAAGTGCAGGGGTCACACATTCACAGCGTGATTCTGTATAAAGGTTAAGATTAGGCTGTGTCTAATGTCCTCTTTAAAGAGGATGAGCATCTTGCTAGTCACTTCGAATACAGAAACATATTATGCATTTCTGGCAGCCTATGATGACTCCAGACTTTATTCTTAACCATTACTGATAACCAGAAATGAGTATAACATCTCAGTTTATTTTTTTCCAACTGCTTCCCTGACTCATTTGCATTCCCATGTAAGAGATTCCTACAGATTATCATCTTGAGCTAGGCACTTTCCCCCCAGAAAATGTTTGGTTCTTTTGTTTTTTTGCAAATCTAGAACTTATATATCTCATTACCCTCTTTCAGGATCTTAGGAAAATACCCCATTAGTAAGCAAGCTCAATGAGAAGTGACTTCTCCCATTCCAACTTGCTTCAAGCCACTTCTCCATTTACAACTCTCCTGTTACCCATAAGGGCCCAATTGTATTCTGATTTTTCTTAAAGGTCTTTGATGTAAAATTTTACCAAAAGAAATGCACAAATAATTCCATACATATCTAATGGACTCATACATAAGTAGTCGAAGTGCTGAAATACACATGGAAACAGCAGGCTCGCAGGCCTCCACCTAGAGGGCTGGGGGATGCGTAAGAGTATGGGTCTTTGGTTGAAATGTAAAACAAACAAAAGCCAGCTCTGTAAATGACTTATTTTCATTAAGTTTCCTTAAAAAGACCACCTTTCCAAACCTCCCAAAATGCTTACTCGAAGTTTAAATTATGCCCACTAGTTCCCTCTTCGGTGTGATCTTTCTCTTCCTGCTTCACCACTATCACCTTTACCGAGCGCAGAGACTGCGAACTTCAGTGAGAGAGTCAATGACCCAGGGACGAAGACATGCGGGGCCCCAGAAGCTGGGCTGTTTTAACTTCCTCAAGTGGAATCTCTGGAAATACTACTCATTGGGGAGTTTAGAGCCAATAGACACAACTTTGATTTTCCTTTGCTTAAAGATGAATTTAGTTTCATTCTCATTGAATGCTAGAACAATCCTTTGCCTAAAGGCACCTCGGGAGGTTTCCTGGTATAACCAGATGTTGACATTCAGAGGTAATGCACCAGAGCAAGGCAGTAAACCAGGAAAAGCCGCCCTGGAGTGTACATCAACTGCATCCTCCCTAGCACGCCCAGGAACGTTCCCGAGATTCGCACCAGTGTGAATGCACCAGTGTGCCAGAACAGGTCTTGAATTTAGGGCTCTTCTGGCTCCCACCAAACCTCAAATAGCTTCTGAAAGTCAGTCACTCACTTTCCACAAGTCATTAATCTCAAGACTATTAAAGAGAGTCAGAAACGGTAAAGGGTGTCTCGGTGTCAGTGGACACCACTTTGGTTAAGTGGTATTCCAGGAGTCGACATCGACGAAATGAAAAAACCCAAATCATAATACGTGGGATGTACATTTTAAAATGGAATTTTCTCTTCCACTTATTTTTTTCTTAAATGTCAGGTAAATTGACTTTCATGGTGCATCTGAATATATAACCTTTTCTATGAAGGTATTTCTGCCTCAAACCTGACATGTTAAACATTTAAAAAAGGTAACTACATAACAGGTGCAGCCATTCTGGACCCCCTGGACAGAGTCTAGAGATCTCTGGGCTTTAAGGACAAGTGAACTAATCCAGATGGGGGTGACAGGTGCTCAAAATGACGATAACCAGCAGCTGTTGTGAAGAAATGTCCAGGGGAGATCATTTCTGGACAGGCAGAGAGCTGGTTAACTGGAAAGTCAACCAACAGATGCTAAATACCTATGTGTCAGGTCCCATGCTGGGTACTGGGAATACAGCAGTAAACAGAACAGATCCTTGTCCTCCTGGAGCTTACAGTCTAGGGTCCTAGGAAGGTGGGCAGCACCCAATCCAGAAGCCCTGAGCAGTGCAAACTGCCCGCCGGAGGTACAGGAGTACCAAGTGTCATCTACCATGACAGTATATTTGAGTCAGACGACAGGCCACTGTGGTGGGACAGGGCGGAAAAAAGATAAACTTCAAAATCCCCGAGGCTTCTAGTGCCCCTTGGTTCCTGGTGTGTGGATTTGAGAGGGCGACAGACAGGAAAGCATTTCCACTGGGGTCATGGACTAGCCCCCTTGTGCGGGTGAGCGGGAGCAAGAGAGCAGGCGCCCTTCGGCGGTACCTGCACACAGGCTGGGGCTAGAAAAAGGACACAGAGTCTAGGGGTAGCTTGTTAGGTTCTGTCGTGTTTTTCCTACTGAACGTTCAGTGCTGTGCACCTCATTGAAAGTCAATCAACTCTTCTAAAAGGGGGTTGCCTATACTCTGTAGGGACTTAAGTGAAAGACCTGGGCCCACAATTGGAGAAAAGAGGTCCAGAGAGACCACAGCCATGACTTGAGGGAAGAAATGACCTGAAGCCAAAGGGCAGCAGCCTAGAGGGATGGAGAAGTGGTGATCTAGAACCACAGCCAGCTGGAGGGGCCAGCAACACCCAGCGCTGTTCAGTTTCTCTTAGCCTTAGTTTCCTCATCTGAAAAAGGGCACACTATCAGTAACTATTTCACAGGAATGTTGTGAACTAAGTGTAGTAATGGAGGTAAACATGTAACCGGATTTGGCATATAGTTAAGTGCTCGATAAATGTTCACTATTACTCTCATTAAAGCAACAGGGTCCGTGAGCTTATCTTCAGGGGGAGCATTTGGCAGGGGGTTAGGACCTGTGGAAACCATATCCCACACTATGGGCAGAATTAGGCTCTAGGAGAGCGACATCACAGGGGTCAGAGTGAGTGGTGGGCGCTGAAGACAGAGCAAGTAAGCAAACCGAGGCTGAGAGCATTCCAAGAAAGAAGCACAAAGGGCCAGGAGTCCGTGCACCACTGGAAGGTCCCAGGTCTAAGAGCAGAAAAACCCACATGGTGTTCTAAGGCATTTAGAAAAAGAGCAGAACTCAACTAGAACAAAGAGGTCTTTTTTCATTCATTTACTTTATTGTTTTTCGGATTACGTTTTGAGAGCAGCACAACTACCTTGGAAAGAGGCTAAGGAAGTATGTATTATTTAAATTTCCACAAATTATTTTAGAAAGAGGGGTTAGGGGCTGGATCAAGACAGAGCTGAACTCTCGAGGGAGTTACAAAGACAAAGGGAACCCAGTTTGCATTTTCTCTAAAGCTCAGTCCAGTCAGATGCTCTACAATCCGCCTGCCTAGAAGCGTGTGTCTATCTTCTTCAGTGCTTCTTATGCAGCCTTCATGCATCGCTCAGGAAGAGGGGTCTGAATGTGTGTAGCTGCGGTGGCCTCAGTAACTCCCTGCACTGGCCAGAAAGTACATTTAGTTTTTTCCATAAGATAAAACACACATGTTTCATGTTCACCAATAACTTTATTGATTTGGATATTCTGAGTATGTTGGCTATCTCCTGCTATTGGCTTCTAATGGGTAGAGGCCAGGGCTGCTGCTAAATGTCTTCCCATGCATAAGACAGCTCCACAGCAAAGAATTATTTGGCCAAAATGTCAATATACCAAGAAACTTCGCAAACCACTCTTGACATGTTTGATCACTCACAGCATCTTCTCCATACACTACACAAATCTTTTTTGTGTTTTGGTTGTGGTTTTTTTTTACCTTTCTTGAAGTAATAAACCATAATATGCTGAAAATATATGTCTTCTTCCATCTTCCATATTAAAATGACTGCACAAAAATTTACCAATTTTGACTTTTTTTAATGCACGCTGATATGACAGCTGTCACAATAACAATCTAACAAAATTAGTTCAAATGAAGTTAAAGACAACTAAGCACTACTAGCACCTTGGTGAGGAAAAAACTAAATGAGCTTTTTGGCCACCCCAGTGTGATAAGAGACGCACAGAAGACAAAGAGAAAGCCTATGTTCTGGAGGCCTTCACAGGTCTGAGCTCTAACCCTAAGACACCATTTCTGGTTTAGATGGTAATTATAAATGAAGGGAACCAGCAGTCGGCTGTTTACCACTGGACATTCATAAACAACATCCAAAGCACAAGTTCTAGTTTTTATCATAGGAGTCAGGCGGTGGACCACGTCTAAAAAAGTAAATAATGATGCACTGAAGGCACAACCAAAATTGTTACTCACCAAATATCTTCAGGCTGGCCATACTTTATTAGATCCTCATCTACGGGAGATACAGGAGAACAAAAAAAGGTGTTAAAAAACACCAGAAAACAAAAAAACCCTTCAAATGAAGATATGCCACAGTTTATTGGAAAGGGAAAAACTACAATCCTTTCCACAATTTTTTTCTCCCTTAATGGAGAGTGATTCGGAGAGGCTTTCATGCTTAAAAATTCTGTAAAAACAGTTTTTAGCACTGGAGAATTGTAACTGTGATAATCTTTTATAATACTTATAATCTAAAGTTCAAACATATTTCTATTTAAAGATAATAAAACTGACAAAACAGAGCAGCTGAGGTCGGATGATGTCTTAGAAAATTGATTCACCGTAATATTTATACGTTTAAACTGTTCCGTTAAAATTTTAAAACCAGTGGACTACATTTTACTTCTTTAAAAAAACCTGAATTTTAAAATTGTAGAAAATTAGGGAATTAAACAAACATCAGAAGTATAAAAAGGAAAATAAAAATTGCCTAAAATAAAATAGAAGAGTGGGATATAGGTATTGGAAAGGATGTTTTTATTATAAGCATCCTGTTAAATTTTTAAAAATTGACTTTAGAGTGGAAGGGAGAGAGAGAAACACTGATTTGTTGTTCCACTATTTGTGCATCCACTGACTGATTCTTGTATGTGCCCTGACCAGGGATCAAACCCGCAACCGTGGTGTATCGGGTCAATGCTCTAACCAACTGAGCTACCTGGCCAGGGCACTATTAGAGTTTTTAAACTATGTGTGATAGGCAAAAATAAAACAAGATTTTAAAAAGTTCTTTGGAAACAAAGACAACTTGATTCTATCCAATGGATAAACTCACAAATGTTGACACCAACTGGTTGTCTCCAATTATAAATGTTTCAATAAATATTTTTAAATCAATACATCCATATTCCTGATTATTTCCTTAAGGTATACTTCTAAAAGGCGAGTATTCAAAATTTATGCACATTTTAAAGACTAATGATATATATCACCACAGAAAGTTTATATCCACATATACAGGGTGGGACAAAAGTAGGTTCACAGTTGTTTGTGTGGAAAATAATACAACAATTAATAAATAATAGAAGAATAAACTCTGTGTTTTGCCTACTCACAACTGTAAACCTACTTCTGCCCCACCCTGTACTTCTAGAAGCCATATGAATAATTAGTAACTAATTGTGTTTAACACAGAAGCATTATTTAAAGTATTAGACACAAAGTTAAAAATTGTAAAGTATACAAAATAATACATATATGATGATTTTAAATGTACCCAAGAAAGTATACTCTCTCTAACTTTAATGGGGTATTTACTTCCCAGAAAAGCAAAAGGAAGATAAACCTTGGATGAGGGTGCTCTGAGCAACTGCAGACTCCACGGGTGTCTGAAGGGCTTTCTACAAGCTTAAGTGGGAAGCTGAGCAAATAGCCACCAGGTGATCAGAACAAGTAAAGGGAAGTCTAAAAACCTCTTCCAGGGAGCAATGTTCGGCTCCCTGGTGACACCTGCTGACTAATAAAAGGAACACACGAGAAGCTTTTCAGTGAAAGTAAATAATTCAACCAGAAATTCATTTACATTCCATCCAGCCCTTAGTCTGAAGTCGACGAGGCTATCAGAAGGAAGTGGGATGTGCTAGGAGCACAGGAGGGCAGAGAGCTGCATAAATGCCACACCTTTCTTAGGGAGCAGCTGTGGAAGTCGACCCCTCCAAACGACTCCAGGGATTCGTGGGGAAAAGTGTGGGACAACCTATGTTTTTTCCTACGTATATTTTAATGACGACAAAACACCGCTCCAGTGGACTCTAGATAGAATGTAGATTTACATATGTAGACATAGATTCTATATCTAGATTTATATTTGTAGATATAAATTCCCCCAAAGGACCTTTAAAGGATTCCAAAAAACAAAAACTAAGAACAAAACCTAAAATACTGCACAATCTAGCCCATCCTAATCTACTCCTCCACAAAGCCTCCTCAGCTCTCCCTAATCCAGTTTTCTCTCTCTGCCTCCTCCATTTCCATGGTATTTGCTATTAATGTTAGTGTATTTTGTCCATACTTTTCTATAATCTTTATTTTCTAAAGCAGTTTGAGGTTCAGAGCAAAACTGACACACTTGCTTCGGTGCATGCTCCACCTGAGAACTGTGAAAACACGCGACTGTTCTCCCTCCTTGGTCCCTCGCAGAGGGCGGGCATGAAGAGACCCAGCAAACAGTGACTGGGACGGGACCCAGGAGACAAGGCGGGCGAGTCCCTGCACAGCTGCCTCGGGTCGGTCGGCTCCACTGGCAGCTGGTCAGTGTGAGCCACAGCAGAGGCAGTGCTCCACTGTAGACATAAATAAAGTCCACTCCCCCGGCCCCCACCCACGCCCCAAGCTGCGCAGTGCAAAACCCGCACAACGTCACGAAGCGGCTCTGCGTTAGGAGCCTCTCAGTGACCTCGATCTTGGATTCGCAGGCATGAAATGGTAGAGAGAAAAGCAGATGTGGTCAGGTTTGAACCTATATCTGCTGTAGATACAACTGTGGCTCGTAACTGTGCCTTGCTGTTCCGCGGGACCCAGGAAGGCAGCACCCCCTCGGCAGCTCCCATCAGGAGGACGCTCTGAGGAAAATACGGATTACCTGTGACAATTTACGGGTTACTAGGAGAAACATAAAGTTCTAGAACTGATATTGCAAACAGCTTCTCCATTAAGTCACATCTAGCATCAATGTCATAAATTCATTAAAAGGACAAACTTTATAAGTAAGTTACATTATTTCATTTTGTTTTATTCTCTTGGCTAGGATGATAATCTTGCTTATACTGATTCTGCTTTATAGCAACCATGTTACAGCAAGGTTCTAAACTGCTTATGTAGATCTGAATTGTAAGTATATTTATATAACAATTACATATCACATTATTAGAGATCATATGTGCTATATATTGTATGCATATATAATATTTTAAATATAAGTATATATATATACTAAAATAAAATTACATCACACTGCTCTTTGACATCTTTTAATTTTTGAATTAAAATTGGCCTTATTTTATGTCGTTAATGTCAAATGTCTCATACTGAAGAATGTTATATTTGCCTCTTTTAAAGGACCAAGTTTAAACTGTTGTCAGTCCCAAACTGCACCTGCAACAGACACTGGTGGTTTTAGAAAAGGAAAAAAACCCCATAATACCTGGAATTGAAAGGTGACTGTAGTGGATCACCCAGCTGTCTGACTACGGAGGCAGTCACCCAGCCTGGAGTGTTCCTGCTGGGAGGAGGGGCTGCATGGGCAGCTAAAGAAGCTCCAGTATGGTAACTGCTACTTACTGAGTGTCCACCAGGGCCCAGACACCTCACCCAGGCTCCTTCATTAACCTTCGCAAACCCACACGGTACATACCACCCATGGTTGTCTTCTAACATCTAAGAAATCTGAGGTTCAAAGCGTTGAAGTCACTACAGCTAGTTTGCTAAAGAACTGGAATTTTAACCCGGACTGGCCTGATTTAGGAGCTGTCTCTTCCAAAATGTTACACTAGCTTGAGAGATAAGCAGCTGTGTTTTCCAAGCTTGAAGAAGAGTAATTCTGGCACTTTCTCCAAGAGCTCTTCTGCCGTTCTTTTCTCCCTCACCTCCGAGCTCCACACCCTGAGGGTCGGTGCGGCCAGCTCACTGCCCTCTGCTCACTGCGCTCCTGATCGAGGAAGCCGAACCTCACTTCTGCTGCCCTCCTCGCTCCTGCAGTGAAAAAGGTTACCCTCAAGCGATGTTTTTAGTTTTAAATTTAGTTCAAATTCATTAGTGGGTCAAAAAATTAGTTTAGCAGGCTGAGATTAGCTTTTAAAACATGAAATAAAACAGAAAATAGAGGGTATAGCAAACAATTTGGGCATTTGTTTTCTTTTTATGAAAGTGTATACTGCTTAGTTATATGATTGTGTATACAGTATGAAGTGATGTATTTCATTCTGAGGGCAATGGTCAACAAAGTTAGACAAAAACTATTAATATTCCGTCACTTTAAAAGAGCCATCTTCAGCCTCGGAAAACCAGTAGACATGTTTCCACCAATCTGAAATGTGGTGAAAATGGCAGGAAATGATCTTTTCAGAGTTCAAGTCACAGATTATTTTTGTTTGATCTAAACTGGCAGAAGTTAACCTCTGATTCATATCAGCTTAAATCAAATGGTGTGACAAAACCTTCATAAAGGAAGCTTCTAATGAGCAGTCAGTGGTCCAGTTAGCTCAAACATTACCTGATGTAAGTAAATTCTAGGCAAATTAATCCCCTGGAGTTCTTTATAATGGGCTAGTTAGTACTAGAAGTTGAAAACTCATATCCAACAAACCATACTGGGGAAAGGCAATAAGCACTTACCTTCTGGAAATTTCAAAATCAAATGCTTTAGAAAACTTACTTTCATATTTATCCTTTCCCATGTAAATGGTGTAAGCAGATGAGTTAACTAAAACAAAACAAAAATAAAAAGTAGTTAGATAATTTCATCACCCAAAGTGTTTCATGGGAAAAACAAGTGACAAATGCTTAGATTTGGGGTTGGCAAAAAAAGGATGGCCCGTTGACCAAAGCGAGCCCTGTGCGTGGACAGCCCTCGAGCTAAGAACACTTTTCAATTTTCAGCGGGCTGGAAAAAAGCAAAACAAGGAAGAACGAGCTATAGAGTGTGGCTCACAAGTCTGACACATTTATTATGTGGCCCAAACAGAAAAAGGTTTCTGACCCTTATTTAAAAAAATAGCTCCTTTCCTACTTTCCTGGGTAAAGTTCAGTGCAACTCCAGTTCAGTCTTATATTCTGCCTTCTTCAAAAGAATTTTCAAAGGAGAAAAATCCAACCTTCACCTCAATCATTTAAAAATAGACTCCTAGACTTAGACAAGTTTTATTTTTTGTAATTTAATTAGGCCAATATTAAATTATATTCCAGGTGTGCTGCAAATTATAATGGGCTGCCTGTCCCGTTCAGAAGAAATATGCCTCTTAAACTTCTAAATCATTGGCTCTGAACCCTGATTACATACCAGAATCCCCTAATTATGCACCAGCTCCACTAAGACTGACCAAATCCTAATCTCGGGAGGACAGGCACTGGTGTTTTCTAAAAGATCTCCAAGTGATTCCGATGTTAAGTCAGGGTTGGGAACCACTATCCTAAATCAAACCGAATGTTCTGGTATGGCTTACATTAGGGATTTACTTTACTGACAGTGTGTTTTAACGTGGGCATGCACCATCTGGAGTCACACAAAAAGTTAAGTTTCCTAATTGAAATTTGAACTGGGTAATGGGTTACCAAACTTACTTGATGCCCTCTGAATGTAACCTCCTGAATTAACAGTCACCAGGGGTTCGGTCTAAGACCCAGCAGCCGGGTGCAAGGCCAGTCTGGGCAGTCTGCTGACTGTCACTGCAGAGCACAGAGCTACCACCCGTGGGTGGGACTTGGAAGGCCAGGGAGCAGGCGCTCTTTCATTACAAACGCTGAACTCAGGACAGCCTGTACGTTCAGTAATGAGACATTCCTTAGGTTACCGATTGTGGCTGCCTCTCTTGGGGAGGGAAAACTCCTAATTCCTTCGATTAGCAGTTATAATGACTACAGTCCATAATTACTTGGAAGTAGATGAGAGAAATATTGAAGGGAATGTTTGCACTGCCTAGTTGACAGAAATACTTATCTATAATTGAGCATTTTATTGGCTTGATAAGGCCTTAGCATAGCATATAGAAAATGCCAGAAGGGCAGGAACAACACTAAAAAGTGTTACAGATTCTCTGTGCACAACCTGGCAATACTATACATATACTATATACCCTTTTGATCCTACAATGTCACCGATAGGAGTATATTCTGCTAATTAAATACTCCATCCAGCAATGATGTTCTTTTCACAAGCTAAACACTAATTAAGACTGGTTAAACACATTATAGTACATCCATAACCAAAATGCCACATACCCATTAAAAAGAAAGTGCCACAGTATATTCTTGCATATCCATATACAATAAGATTCAATTTGTAAAAAATAGGTGAATATGTAATTATGTCTGCATATTTATGCAGACAGACATATTTATGCAGACATAATATATGCACCCATTTTCTTTATATATATGGAAGGATATACCTCTGTTAACAATAGTTACCTTAGCTAGCTTGCTCACACAATATACAGGTGGTTTTTGCAATCAGAAAAAAAGTAATTTTTAAAATGATTAAAATAAAACAAAGCTGTCCCTGTGCAGGCCAAGTTATCTAACCTACAGCCAAGAGAACGAACGACAGACAATTGTTTGGATGGCTGACCTACAGAACGAGGTGATCAAGAACATAACTGCAGCCCTGGCTGGCGTAGCTCAGTGGATCGAGCGAGGGCCTGCGAACCAGAGTATCGCGGTTCGATTCCCAGTCAGGGCACATGCCTGGGTTGCAGGCCAGTTCCCGGCAGGGGACGCATGAGAGGCAACCACACATTGATGTTTCTCTCCCACTCTTTCTCCTTCCCTTCCCCTCTCTCGAAAAATAAATAAAGAAAATATTTATAAAAAAAAAAAGAACATAACTGCTACAAACCCAAACTGAGGGGCCTTCTACAAAACAATTCTTCAACTAGCAAGTGTCATAAAGACAAAGACTGAGCAAGTGCTCTAGGTTAGAAGAGACTAAAGAGTCCCCTCTAACGATTTGTCATTTCCCTGTTATACATACATTAGGACAATGAGTAAAAGTTGATTAGATAATAGTACTGTTGCAAAGTTAATTTCCTCATTTTTATCATGAAGAATGTCTTTTAATAAGAGAATATCCTTGATTTTAAGAAAAAAATACTTAAGTATCTATGGGTAAATTGCAACTTAGTTACAAACAATTCAGGACAAAATATTACGCGTGTATGGGGAGAGGGAGGGAGAAGAGTGAAAATATCAGAAAAATTAAAATAATGCAATTGTTAGAATGGGGGTTAAGAAGGTAAAATATTCAAATCTGGGGAATCTAAGAGAAGGATATAAAGGAAAGCTTTTACTTTGCCTGTAACTTTTCTGAAAGACTGAACTTCTGTCAAAACTAAAACGACCATGACTGCCAAGCCGGTATTCTGAATTAAGCTCCTGTTCATGTTAAAGAGATAAAGAAAAAAATAAACTGAATTATTTTGGTACTTTTGTTTTTCTCACCTAAATAACCGGGTTCATTAGTATGGGAACGAACTAGTTATCTTGAAGACAGATGACTGGGGCATGGCAACCAACCCAACTCTAGGGGCCATGTGATCATTTCATAACATTCAGAACAATCTATCCTAAGACAGATGCTATTCAGAGGTGCTAAGTACTAAGTACCTCTTCATGAGCAAAGTGCAGTTATTCTGTGGGTCCATAACATAGATGGTCTTGAATTTGACACTGGAAATAAAATAAAGCTAATGTTTCATTATGTCACTATGAGAAAACATGAAAAAATAGAATTAAACAGATTTTAGTCAGAGATACTAATCTTAAAACAAAAGGAAAAGCAAAGCTTTCCACTGAGATTTCTCTCCCCACTTTTTAAAAAAGGTTTTAGGCTATAACCACTTGGTTGAAAGCTTGGCTATCTATATGAAGTCAGTTCCTGAAGATTCTGCATTTCAAGTCGTTTTCTGTACTGGGATATGTAGCTTTACTACTGTTTTACTGGAAACGTTATATATTTTTCCATTAACTTTGCAATTTTAAGAGATTTGCTGCACAAGGGCAGTTTTATTACACTTAGAGGCTAAATATTTTTCCAACATACAGTCTCAGAAGCAGTTCTGACACGATAATGGAAGCCAATGAGAAAACTATGATCCACAAATCTGCACTTTGTTCTATTAAGGGCACTTGTACATGTACGACTAGGGCTCAAAGAATTTGGAATAGCTTTAAAGCAACTAGCATAAAATACATTTAGTACTTATATACCCCCCATACTTTTTATTTCCTTCTGAGCACATATAGAGATCTACGTTGTTGGGGAATTTCATGAGTAGAGAAGCTACAAAGAGATGCTGAAGTTATGTCAGACGGAACAAAACAGTACAGAGGAAGAATTGAAAATGCTATTGGGGGCCTAAAATGTTTTTTCAGGCTAGTCTGAATTTTGTTTCTAGTAATTTGAATAATATGGGTAAAACAAACCAAATTTACAGAGGCAGAGAAATATTAGCATACTGTGGAAGTCTAAACTACTCAGAAGAAAAATGAGATGTGACTGTGATTGAGTAGGAGGGGGTGGGGTCTGTGAGTTACAACATCTCTGGGCCTTAATGTTCTCAGCTCTAAAGAGGAAGTCCCACCCTGCTCGACCCCACACAAACAATATGGAGCTCACCTGTAACAAGCAAGCAAAGATAACAGCAATAGAATAGTGTCTTATGACTATATTAAAAAAATAACATTCGTTTTATTCCACAAGTATCTATTGAATATCTATTATGAGCCAGGGACTATACGAGGGGAAACAAGATAAGGATACCCTGTCCCTGCCCTCAAAGGGTTTACACTCTCAAGCAGACAGCGTTTATTACCATTAAGCGCCAAAACCAAAGGTATACACGGAGTATTAAGGGGGTCCCCCAAAAGGTATACCTAAGCAATTACTGGGTGGAAGCTAGATTGGGAGAGGCATTTGAAAAAGGTAAGCCAGAGCTATCTTAAGGATGTAGCAGTGAACTGGGGGTTGATTCTAGCAAAGAGTACACAGCAGAGAAGCGAAGTCTACACACACTATTTACTTCCTGGGTACTAAAAGCACCCTTTCTTTGACTGCCAACGACAAATCAGAAATATCATCATATGTCACTTTTCAAGATCTGAGACATCAGGTCTACCCAGTGAGTAGATTGCTTACCATTCTAAGGTCTTTTACGCTGTCGTTGCATGGAGACCCTACAATCAATCCTGTTCTAGAAGGGTAAAGCGTACTGCCCATGCGACAGCTGTTGACAGGTATCTCCTGTGTTTATCAAAGTGCATAATCACTAGGGCGCAGCCAGAATAAAGGCCAAGGTGGGGGGGCGTGAAATGGGGTGTGAAGAAGCCCACAAACTGCCCTATTCCAGGTAACAATAGTCTTCCCGACTGAGGCCAGAGAACACTCCCGGACGCAAAGACCGCAGAGGGGACAGTTCCTCCGGCCGCCCCCACCCCCCACCCCGCGGGCCCTGACAAGGGGTCACTCGGAGACCACCCGACGGAATGAGTCAGAGGACCGAATGGGAACGGGGAAAAAAGGAGCCCAACGCGGAGGAGGCGCTTTAGGATAACGTCCCAGCTTGGCGGCGGCCCCGGGCGGCCCAGCTTCGGAAACGCACAGTGGAGTAGGGACCTTGGAGGTCTTGGCGCCCACTCACCGCTGCTGCTGGTGAAGTAGAACACCATGATGCCGGCGACGGCGCAGCGACCCCAGCGTGGAGCAGCAGCGCCCAACTCTCCAAGGGCACAAGACCAGACGCAGAGGCCGCCAGTTTCCTGGAGCTTCTGCGCGCACTTCCGGCGGGTGTTGGGCCGCGTCACAACGCCGGCCGTCAGTGCCACTTTTGGTCTTGGCAAGGAAGTGGTGCTGGTGGGGATGGGGCCGGGACCGCTGCTGGTTGGAGAGCATGGGCGGGGAGGTGAAGGGTACACCATCTTCCTTTTTTCTTTTTTATTGAACTTATTGGGGTAAAGGTTTATAAAGCTATACCGTTTTCAGGTGCATAATCATATAATACACATCTGTATATTGTACTGTATGTTCACCAACCCAGCAAAGTCTTCCATCACCATTAATGCCCCCTCTACCCTCTTCTACCTCCCTCCACCCTGCATGAAACTATCTTAAAAGAAAAATGTCATTGGCTGGTACCTCCACCCAGTGTGTGGTTAAGTCCTGAGGCTTATTTATTGGTATTACCTGCCTCCCCACACCCCCGCAGGAGCTCCCAGAGAGCATAAACTGTTTGTCTTTTTCACAGCTGGATGTTCACTGAGCCAATCGCGGTACTTGATACATCGGTAGTTCATTAAATTTTTAATGAACCCAAATTCCTCCGCTATTCTCATTCTACCTCCACCACTTGTAAGGCCCACATTTGGATACATTCTGTGCTTCACCTCCCTCGCCTGCAAAATATAGATGAGTAGAGCAGCTAATTTATCGATTATTTGCTAGCGTTACATAAATTAATAGGAGGAAGGGATTAGGACATTTCACTCAACTCATATGGATTGTTAGTGATACTCCCCAGAAGCAACACGCCTCTGGGATTTCGGCTAGGACTGTTCTGCATTTATGATTTGCCAATTGTTACCTGTGAAACTGGGCAAATTTCAAACCTGTGAACCTCAGAGATCTACCTGCTGTAAAGTGGTAATAATTTCACTTCGCTGAAGCTCACACAATACCTCGCTTTGACCTATTTCTCTTATTTCGTTCTGACTGCATTCTAGGAAGTTAAGTGCATCACTTAAGTTTATTTAGAACTAAAAATGTTCCGTCGCAGAAAATAAATGTTTACACTTGGTATGAATTAGTCTAATAACAGGGGAAACAGTATCAGGAGCTGGTTACACAGAAATAAAAGCAATAGCTAACAATCAATGAGTACTTTAGGAATGTTCCAGCTCCCCAAAGCAAGAACCTAATTATGGCCTATAAGCAGTCATTGTTTTCAGGCTCTCGGTTTTATTCTCTGTAAAATGGGAATGATAATACATACCTCATAGGTTGTGGTGTGGAGTAAATGAATTAAAACACATAAAGTGTGCAAGAATGCACATAGCAGATAATAGTGCTATGACTTAATTTTTTGAATTTAACTTCAAAAATAAAATAAGCTAGAAACCTAACATACTAGTAAAAAAAAGGTTGAAGGTTAAAGCTTCAAATCTGAAATATAATTGCCTCGAGAATCTCAAAAACGTCTTACACCAAGTGACCCCATAATGTTCATGAGGGCGTCTTTATCCTATGGAAAACTACAATTCCCAGAACACACCTAAACAGGACCTGGGGAGTGGAACCAGGCGCGGCCGCAAGGGATTGTGGATGGCATAGTTCCTTGAGTGGAGAGAGTTTCACCTCCCAAGGGCGGGAGAGTCTAGGAGACCGCCTCTCGAGTAGGCGGGGCAATAACTGAAATGCGGCAATCATCGATCTAGTTTCTGGAAGCGCTGAGAAGTGGCGAATCGGGACACAGCAGCTTCAGCTTAGCCTGGCGCGCGATAATTTGAACACAGTGGCGGAGCGACTGGCTTGACTGAGAGGAGAGGTCGCAGACTCCGGGGTGCAGGTAATTGCCGCAGGGGGCCGAGGTGCGGGTTGGAAGACCGAGAAGAACGGGAGATTCTAGAGAACGTGGTGGGGGTGAATGTCAAGGACCGAAGTCACCAACCGGTTCTCTGCACTTCCAGGTCACGTCACCTGGTTCCTCTCTTCCTGACGCCGGAGTTTTCTAAGGCTGAAAGAGGAAAAGATATTCCTCTTTTCCGCTTTCAGCCTTAGAAGGGTCTTCCCTTAAGCCGCAGCTGACATTAATTTCCAGAGACCCTGGTTTTTCTGTTTAACTTTGAAATCACGCTTGTGTCATTTTACAAAACAAACCTGGTCCGAAGGACGGGGAGGGGGAAACTTTGCTGAGCAACACGCCGTCTGCTCGAGTTAAGGCGCAAGACTGTTGACTGTCAGCAGCCTAAGGAGGGCAGGGCATTTTGTAAAAGCAAAGGAGCGGCTTAGTTGGGGTTCCTCGACTGGTAAAATTGGAGAGGGTTTTTTGCTGGACTCGTAATAAAAGTTAGAATGGTTTCATTGCATATACAGGCTGTTGAAATGCGGTTACACCAACGAGAAAATGTGTTATGTGGAGAATATTAAGAAAGCATAGAGGGAATGGAGGCGTAGGACAGCATCTAACGGTGGTAGGGGTGGGGATGGGGTGGAGTGAGGGCAATGGCAAGGGAGTTGTTGCAGAAGATGAATGTTTCAACTTGGTGTGAACTAATAGGGCTAATGAAAGGGGAGGGTGTGCCTTAAAATAGGGTAAAAAATATTTCCTTTTTGGTAAGATCATTTTCCAGCTTGAAACATAGGTACTATCCCTGCTTTTATTTCCTGTTTTATTACTAGTGTTTTTCCTTTTATTTTTTTTACCTTCATCGTTTAAATTTTTATTATAGTGATTTGCTCAAAAAAGAAACCCTTTTCTTGGATCTTGATGGACCGTCACCCATACAAAAAGTAATTCAGACTTTTAAGGTATAATTTCTATAGTGATTTCTATGCACATTGGACGAATTTGGTTATTATAATTGTCCTCTTGCTTCTAGGAGTTCAATTAAGAAGATGTCAGCTTTTACTCCAAGGAAAAGGAAGCAGAATTCTTTGAATTGTGATGAGTGAGTCTCATGGGTAGAAACTCTTAAAAAAGAAAAATGCACCTTCCTGTCTTTCTTATCTTCTTTCTTCTATTTCTTAAAATTTCCATTCTTCCACTGGTTATAGTAATATTTTATATTCTAATACTAGTCTGAAAATACTGTAAGCTTTCAAAACTAATTATTTGCTGCTTTTTCAGGAATCACAGAAAGAGCTGTTTACTATGGCTTCAAAATATATATGTCAAATCTTCCATTATCTTGCTCCTTTCTACTCTCTTACATGATTCTTAACACAGTGTTTTCTATACAGTAGATGCTGGTCTGTAAGCCAGTCTGGAAAGTCTGTGTACTCAGTACTTACTGTGTATCATACCAAATGTAAACTACTCCCCACAGAACGGGCCCTAGTTACATAGAATTAATCATTTTAGAAGACTCGGAACCACTCAAACAAAGTATATGAGCTATAATTTGTATATGGCCATGACTTTAAAATACTTTTAAAACATACATATACACACGTATATGAAAATTTCTTTGTAAACAGTGTTTTCACAAACACTATCTTTTGAAAACTATTTGAATGCTTTGCTTGGTAAAAACAACTTGAGAGATCCTACTGTTAAACTAATAGATAATGTGTATGGACGGATGTTTGGTGGAGAAGATGTAATGTTTTTAATGTGACATATAGGTAGCGTTGTTTATTACTTAGCAGTAAAGTGACAAAAATTGAAGCAAAATAACAAGTCTTATCAATGGACCTTGTTTTTTTTTTTTTTCATAGCCTATTGTCGGACATTCCATCAAAGAAATTAACTTTGGACTTTACTGAAAACATATTTTCATCACCTAATAAACAACATATTTGCCAAAGCAGTGATAAAAATGAAGAAAAGTTGCCTTACTCTCAACAAGGCCATGCCATTTCAAGTCTGCTCCAGACATCTAAAAAAACTAGGTTACCATCTGCAAATCAAGGCTCACCTTTTAAATCTTCTGTGTCTGCTGTATCCTTTTACAACAAAAATAAGTGTTACCTCAATCCACTGGAGAGAAAGATGATAAAAGAGAGTAGATCCATTTGTCTAAAAACTAGTAATGAAGCTAAGTCTTTTCCTGGTGTGACAGAAAAAATGCAGGGAAAACCAGTTCGTTCCAAGAAGATGAACAAAAAACCACGGAAGAGCTTAACTGCTAAGGGTCAACCAAGTTATAAGTGCATCAAGCCTGTATCAAAGAATTCTAAAAATTCCATGCAAAATCGAGTGGCCTACAAACCAAGTGCGGAGAAAGAGAACAATTGTTATTCAGCTGAGAATAATCTGCCTGCTCCTAGAGTTCTAAGCCAAAAAGTCAAACCACAAGTAACGCTCCAGGGTGGAGCAGCATTTTTTGTTAGAAAAAAATCCTCTCTTAGAAAATCATCTCTGGAAAATAAGCCAATCCTGGGACTCACTCAAGAGAGTAAGTCAGAAGTGATTAAACATTCTGATGTAGAGACTGTCAGTGAAAGAAAAGGTTTTGAGACAAAACGAGTGCCAAAGTCCTTGTTAATAGAAAAGGAACTGAACATTGAGCTGCTGGGTACAAGAGGTAACAATGAAGAGAAATTAATAAAGGTAAAGAAAACTAAATGTATCATTTAAAAAACTAAGTTGGCTATATAACAAAACTTCAATATACGACCTATATATGTAATATAATTGAACAAAATTTTATTTGCAGTCTAGAGGACTGCTTTTATGGATCCAAATAGTATAGTTTAATCACGCTAAAGAATTTAGAGGCAGGGTGGAAAGATGGGACTTTTCTCCCCTTTTTGGCTAAAGGGAGCCTATCATCATTTTCTGGCACTAAAGTATATATTTTATTAAAATCCCTCATGACTAAAGTCCAGAGAAGCTTAACGACTTTTATTTGGTAGTTGGTGTTTTTAGAAAGTAGAAATAATGAAATTCATGTAGTAGGTTTCCAGCGAATAAGCAGATTCTAATTGTTTGTTTCAGCGTATTATTTAAAGTACTGGATTATTCTAGAAAATATAGAGAATACAGAAAGTACAAAAAATATATTGTCTGGAAACCCAGTACTTGGAGATGATCACTGTTAACATACAGTTGGGTTTTTTGTTTACTTTATGCAGTATGTTTTCATCGTTGCTATTCAATGCTTTTTTTGATCTTGCTCATAAATTTAACACAGCTAGCCCAAACAATAACAATACAAAAACCCTATATCTTGATGGGGGTTTTGAGTTTGTTACATGGGTATGTAAGTTTATTAAAATTCATCAAACTCTATTCTTTATATCTTTTTACTTTATATACATGTTCCTCAATTTTTTTAAATTGGGGGGGCAATTCAAGCTAAAATTAATTCTCAGTTCAGCAGCACAAAGTAGAGCAAGGTCTGCCTTTCCCCCCAGGCATCTCCTGATTCCTATTCTCCGTGTCTGTCTAATACAGTGACATGACAAATTCCCTGCAGTGCTCTTTTCTGCCTTATTTTCTGAGCTTCATTTTAAGGGGCTGGATATTGGATTCTGTCTAGTTATCATTAGTTTGAGAAGGTGTGCTTTTGTGCATCTTAAATTTGTTGAACAAGGCTCTCCTCTCTTAAGATTTTGTTAAATACCCACTACTAGTATTCATCTCTACTAGTCAGGGGTGAATTCTGTTTTCATTACTGAGTGCATAGCCTTTCCTCAACTCATTATGGAGCCTTAAGAAATGGTGGTTTGGCTCATCTCTACTGAGATATTATGGTCTGGAATAGTTCTACTTTAATCAAAAGAACTTTTCCCCAAACTATATATTCTCTAAATCTCACCAAATTAGTAATGTTAGTGAAATTTGTCAGAATTTTTTGCTACTTTGCTTTTCCCACTTCTCAGCTACTGCCCAAAAGGGGGAGTTAGAACTCTCTCCAAATACTTAAGAATGTTCTTTTTCTTTCCTTGGCTGCCTGTTTTTAAACCTTATGACAAAAGGTTGTCCCTTTCCAGTGGGTGGCTCCTGGGAAAATTTTTGCCATTTTCCCTCACTTATCTTATTCAATTTATTATATAAAGGATGTTCTATGATCTCCATTCTGCCATCTTTATCAGAAATTATAAATACATTTTTGATAGGATGACAAATTGCACACTTAAATATGCATTCTGTCTTAAAAGGTTATGAACATTTAGTAAACATAGAGGAAATTGCCCTTAAAATAGGCTGAAAATTGAGGATTTAAAGTCATGTTATAAAATAATTTATAATAAACTAGGTATTTAGTTTTAGAAACATTTATTGGAATTCATTCACTAAATGGAAAATGGTTAAGAACTTCGGGTTGTTTTTTTTTTAATTTTTACTTATTCATTATCATCAGGATTCAAGTGGAGTAGTTTCTTCAAGGGAACATAAACCTGGTGAAAATAAGTGTTTTCCTTTGGAAGATTCTCACAGTGGGAACAAGGCAGGTAAGAGAAAACTTCTCAAAATGAATTTATTATGACAATGCTCCATTAAGTGTATCACTATGAAATTATATAGGATAATTGGTAAAAGGATATGGCAAAATCCATGAAGGTAGAATACAAATGATGAAAGTTTATTACTTAATAACTGGAGTTTATCATTTAATTCTCACAACCCCAGGGAATAGATTTGTGTGCACGTTTCATAGACGAGGAGACAGACGGGCTGAGTAACGGGCCGGAGCAGGTCAGACTCTCCCCTGGTGTGCCCTTGTTTGTAGACAGTGAGCTCTAATTATGTTTTCAATGCAAAGTTAAAAGTTTGCCAACTTTCAATGTGTTATTTTTCTTTAATCAACTATTTTAATTTTGGTCTTTTTTAAAATAAGCTTTATTTTACAAAAATTTTAGATTTATAGAAAAGTTGTAAAGATAGTTCAGATAATTCCTGTATATATCCTTCACCCTATTTTTTCCAACGTTACCACCTTACATTACCATGGTGCCTTTGTCAAAACCAAGAAATTCACATTAGTACATGACTATTAACTAAGCTCTGGACTTTGAGTTCACCAGTTTTTCCATGAATGCCCTCTTCCTGTTCTAAGATCCAGTCCAGGATACCACTGCATTTACTTTTCATGTCTCCTTAGTCTCTTCTCTGTGACAATATCTGTCTTTTGCTTGTTTCCAGGTTTGTTTGTTCATTTGTTCGATTTTTGATTGGCCACTTCACAAGCCAATTCTAGAGAGGCAGGTGCTACTATATGGACAAATGGCTGATTCGAGAGCTGGCAGCCTGTGAACATGGGGGACACTCGTCCCAAAGCCCATCTTAACATCTCGGCACAGGCAGAGGTTTTTATAAGGAGGGAGAGGGAAAACAATAAAGAGATCAAAGGGAGGGGGGGTGAAAAGTCCTCTGTGTGCAGACCAGCACAGTCTGTTCTGAGAAGGACCTTAAAACCGGTCAAGTGGCAGTCTGGTGTGCGTCTTCCTGGTGTTACGATTTAGGGTCAGCAAATCTCCCAGAGCTGGGATGCCTGAAGGCCAGAGTCTGTATCTTTTGAAGTTAGATCCTGGGATTCTTAGACAAACACGCTGTTTATCTAGAAGCTACGAGTTAGTCAGAGTCAGCACTCACTGACACAATGTCAACAGAATGGTGGGGTGGGTTACCTTTTTGACCTTGACATTTTTGAGTAGTACTGACCAGAATGTTCCTGAATCTGGTTTTGTCTGATGTTTTTATCATGATTAATAATTATCATGATTAACCCATGGAGTAATGGGTTTTGGGGAAGGATGCCACTGAGGTAAAGTACCCTTCCCATCATGTAGGCTTATCTATCTATTGCTCAGACCATTGGGAGATCTTTTCAAGTCAGTTTTCTTTGGCATGTACCATCCTTTTGTCTTTTGAGCACTTCCTTACTATTTAGCATTAGTAAGATGCTCCAGTCCCATTGTGTATTTTCCTTGTCCCAGTCCTAGAATTAGCCATTTCTCCAAGGAATCCTGGTTTCTTCTACTGGGGAATAATATGTAGAAACCAATACCTGGGCTCACTACGCTCATTGCTACTGGCATGTCATTGTTTCTAGGCCCTCTGAGCAGACAGAGCCGGGGAATACACGTATATATACTAACCCACGTATACACGCATAGCTATCTTTGCTTCTGTATCTCTCCATCTGTATATGTACTAAAGAAACATAAGTTCACATTTGATGTTCTGACTCTAATCCAGTACCATAGGGTTTATCCCTTTCTTGTTTATCTGTAACTTCCCTCAGACAGTGGAAAACCTCATTCTCACCATTCACTCTCCACCTACTTAATTCTTCATTCCCATACCTGCAGAACAGTTTTTAAATTGTTAATTCATAATCTATGAGAAACAAATTTACCAACTAGAGAAATAAAGTATGGTCCTTTTGTCTTTAGCCATATACTTTCTAGTCAAAACAGCGTTTTGTGAAGTTACAAAGGTCAGCTTCCCTCTCTATCCCTACTTCCTTCAGAGTAGTTATACCATACAGTTCTAATACAGTTGGCTTTATTTGTCACAGTCTGCAGTACATCTCAGGGTCCCTCGACACATGATTTTTGTTTTTACATGCATTACACTTCACTTCTTGTCATACAGTTCTGTGGATTTTGTCAAGTGCAGAGAGCCATGTATTATGGTTCTGCGTACTCCACAAAACAGTTCTCTCACCCAAAATATCCCCTGTGTGTACCCTGTGTGGTCACCAACGCCTCTTCTCCCATTCCCCTGGCAACTACAATGTATTTTCTGTCCCTATGGTTTTACCACCGATGGAATTGTGCAACATGCAGCCTTTCAATTCTGACTTCTTTTGCTTAGTAAAATGCATTTAAGACTCATCCACATTGTTGTATATATCAATAGTTCACTGCTTTTTTTGGCTAAACTATGGCTATACCATGTCTGTTTATCTATTTCCCCTTTGAAGGACATCTTGGTTGCTGCCCGTTTTTAGCAGTTATGAACAAAGCTACTATGAACATTTGTGTACATGTCTTTCTGTGGGTGTGAGATTTCACAGGACTTGGGTGAATACCTAGAATCATGATTACAGGGTTGTGTGTAAATCTTGTTTTCACTTCATAAAAATCTGTCAAACTACTGTCCCACAACAACTGCGCCATTTTGCATTTCCGCCTGCGATGAGTAAGAGTTCCCATGACTCATTGTTCTTGCCACCATTTATTGTTGTCAATTTTTTGATGTTAGCCATTCTCATAGGTATGTGGTGAAATCTCATTGTGCTTTTCATTTAACAAATGATGCAGAGCATCTTTTCATGTGTTTATTTGCTATCTGTATTTATACCTTTGGTGAACTGTCTGTTCAGCTCTTTTGCTCATTTTTAATTGGATTGTTTTTTAATTGCTGAGTTTTAAGATGCCTTTTTGTATTCTGGATACAAGTCCTTGATTAGAAATATGATTACAAGTATTTACTCCCAGTCTGTGGCTTGTCCTTTCATTTTCTTAAGTTTTTTTGCAGAGCAAAAAGTTTTAATTTGATAAAGTCCAGCTTAATTTTTCTTTCATGTATTGTGCTTTTTGTGTTTTATGTAAAAACTAAGCAAATCGAAGTTCATGTGGATTTTTCTTTTTTATATTTTCTTCTAGAAGTTTTACAGCTTCACATTTTACACTTAGATGTGTGATCCATTTTGAGCTAATGTATGTGTGTTTTCATTTTTTTGCATATGGATGTCCATTTGTTCCAGCACTATTTGTTGACTCTCTTCTCTCCATTGAATTATCTTTGACTTTTTGTCAAAAATCAGTTTAACTATATTTGCAGGGTCTGTTTCTAGGCTCTCTATTGTGTTCCATCGGTCTACCTTTTTGCCAATACCATACTGTCTTGATTACTATTAAGTCTTGAAGTCAAATAATGTGAGTGTTTTGGTCTTATTCATCATTAAAATCTTAAGCTATAAAACGTTGAGTTTATTTTGTAATACAAATTATTGTCACTTTCCCCCACCAGTTTCTCCTGAGTTCACGGTCTATCCCATCTTCAGTGCATCTTCAGTCAATACAAAAAGGTAGGAATTGCTCTTTTAATGTTCAGTGATGATTTAATTATGAGTCTATGGATCTCTTTTTATTCTTAAACATCTTAATTTGGAGAACATTTTTCCCTTCTCTACTAAGGGGACATTAAGAATAGAAGGTGAAATCACACCCTTTCATAGAAATTTTGTAAGAACCTAAGAGTTGGGAGAAGAGAAAGATCTTTATGGGCTTGAGTAATAATAATTGCCAACATTTTTATGTAGAACCTGGCCCATAATAAGTAGTTTATATCCTTTATCCTGCTTGATCCTCACAACAACCTAAAAGGAAGATACTATTATCAATTATTTTTAGCTGAGGAAACTTAGTAATTCAGCCACAGTTGCCAACTATTAGGTGGCAGAGCCAAGACGAGAATCTGTATTTGAATCAAGCCCATTAGGCAATATTGCTTTCCCTGAGTAATAACGTATCAGTAATACTTGATGTTTAATGAGCATTTACGACCTTAGATGTAGGTACTATTATTACCCTCATTTTATAGATGGGAAAATTCTGCTCAGAAGAGTAAGTAACTCGCAGCATCTTGATGCTGTTATAAATCCCAGTAGAAGCTACCACTATCCTGTCAAAGCTAAGAGTGCGGTGTGGAAAGGCCTGAGTGAATGTGAGCTTGATAGTAGAAAGTTCTGAAAACTTCAGTAGAAGTTTCTTATAGTCTGAACATCTTCCTAAGGAGCTGTGATACTTCTCTCCCTGTTTAATAATACATGACTATAGGTATTATAGCAAGGAACTTCCTAGCCAAGTTTTCCTACTTTTAGGTGCTCCTCACCTTAAAGCACCTCGGAGACTGGGTTGGGTGGGCAATGTTCCCCCTTCAAAGGTTGTAGTCCTATTTTTTTCACTCTTCCCTTTTCTCATCTGTCTACTTTCGTGACTGTTTATTAAGGGTTGAAATCTATCACAATTAGCTGATAAAGGTTGTAAACTAATTTAATCTAGCATAAGGAGATATTAAGATACTATTGGTTGAATCATTTGAAATTGCTAAGTTTGTAGAACCCAAAAGGTCCTACAGTTTTTTGTGGTTTAATCTGTTTTACTTTAGGTAGACTACAGATTCTCTGGGTTCACGGTCTCACATTCGTTTTTTGGTTTATTCCTTCATTTGGCAAACATTTATGGAATATTATGTGATATTAAACTATTCTGAGTTTTTAGTTATGTGAAGATGAATAATATACGGTTGTGCTATCTAGGAAATTATGGTTTGAGACAGATGGGCATTTAAACAAATACATATAATAAAATGTTAAAATGGCTAAGATAGAAGTAAAGAAAGAGGTTGTGGTTGTGAGCTGAGTCACTTAGCAAAGGTTGCATAGAGAGACCAGAGCCACCAACCTAGACGTGTGTTTTCTATGTTACGGGTATTAAATAATTACCATCAGCAGCTTGTCAAAGCAGTTTAAGGGCATTATATCTAGAATTCTTTAAATGGAATAATGCATCTCACATTTTTTAAAGTTATATATGTGTATCTCCATTGGTCATGATGTAAAATATATTTCTTACCCTAGGTTAGTGAAGTCAGTTTGAAAGCCATTCTAATCAAATGATCACAGGACAAGACAGCTTGGCTTAGCTTAAAGCCTTAAACAGTTTTTTCCACCCAGTGTTTTCTTATTATCAGGTTTTTTCCTTTTTGAATTTCTTGCTTTAGGTACTAGGTTTGTTTCTTTGCCTATTTTTCTCTTTATCTCTACTCTCAGAGGCATCTATTCCTTTGTTCCTTGGAAAACCAAGGTCCTTTTTATTACAAGGCAAGGGTTACAAACTCAGTACCTGCAGTCAGAAAAGCTGGGTGGACAGTGGAGCCAGCTGGAGAATGCATGCCCCATGTAAAAGGGTGTGTGCTGTTTAGCTTTATCTATCTAGTAGGTTCTTTGAAGAAATAGAGGTCTAGTGATCTTATGATTTCTCTTGCAATATTGGAAATACACATTTTTAAGTGAAATTCCTACATTTTTAAAATACTAGCAACTAGTCCAAAGTCTTAAACACCATGTTATTCAAAACTTACCTGCTAGCCAAATTTTGGCTGAGGGGCTTCAATCTGCAACCTCTATAAGACAATCCTTACATTCTTTCCTAATGGGAAAAGGTTGCCTTGACAACATCTATCCAGCCCAAACCACTTTTTCCTAAGAATTTGAGAATAGTGGGGTGTTGCTTTAGGTATGAAGACCAGTGCATGTATTAGCCCCAACCACTGCCCAAGTAAAAATTTGTTGGGTCATTTTGCTGATGGCTGACTTCTATGGATCTGTGGGCTTTATTCGAGTCTATTTATTTGTTGTGTTATTCCAGGAATTTCTGTATACCTACATGGGTAAATATTGTCCTAAGATGTATAAAGCAAACAAAAGATTATTTTTTATGACTGAAGTCAAATTAGGAAGAGATCCTGCACATGCGCATCTGATACCACAGATGAAAGTCCCTGGCACTTGGAGTTACAAGACGAGGGTTTGAGTCTTGGTGCCATTCTCTACTGGGTACTTTTACCTTGAGTAAATTACTGATCCTGAGTGGGCCTGCGACTTCTCATTGTTCCCAGTCCTATTGCTTTATCAAGTTATTGTCTCTAGAAAGCACTAAAATTGTCAGGTGCTCTGCAAATGTCATATATATATCAGTTTTCTTTTCATTGTAATTCTCTAACCATTTTAAATTATTAAATAACATTTATCAACTTTCTGTTTCAAGATCTCTAGTTGAAGAACAGTCTCCTGTGGGATCCATCACACCTACTAACTTCTCGAAACAGATCAATACACAGAAGAGTACTAGTGCCAGAGATACAAACAAAGAAACAAAAGACCAGCTCGTTATTGTGAGTAGGTTCAAAACAATGCTCCTCCTGTATGTGGCTCTCACATGTAGACCATGAATCGGCCATGCTGTCTTAGCATAGTTAACATGGGTTATAGATATTTTGAGTTGTAAATGCCAGCTTTGTTGTGATGGCAGCATTTAAAGGTAGTCAAGTGAATTTTCAAATTGATACTGTTGGGTGATGCTAATAATTTAGCAGAAAGCTGATGAAGAAGTTGTCTTCAAGTAAGGAACATTATTGTTGATCAGCAAAAGATTGAATGAGAATAGCTACATTGTATTAGACTTGGGTTTGGCAAATTTTGGCCATGGGCCAAGTATAGACCACGGTCTGTAAGCTTAAAATGGCTTTTACATTTTGTAAAGGTTGGGGAAAGAAGAATATGTGACAAATCATGTGTGGTCTGCAAAGCATGAGGTATTTGCTCTCTGGCCCTGCGACTGCAGAACCTGGTATTTCCAGTAACATTGAGCAAGGCCTTATGGGATAGAATGGGGTTCATTAGTAAGCCAGGACATCAAATACTCCTGATTTCCCTGTTAATTTATCTGTGCTTTCCCTTAACTTTTGTTATGTATCATATTTATTTTTATCAACTCGGGGCCAAGAATTTTAATATTTCTAAATACTCAAGGAAAAAATACTATATAATGAATACAAAAGTCTTAAGACTTTTGCCCTTTGTCTTTGAAACAAGGCTTTTTTAGGTTTCTATTTAAGAGCTTAATAAAGAAGTTTCCATTGTTCATCTTAGCTGTAAATTTTGTGTTTAATCTATTCCTTCTTAGAACTATGGGTCTATCTAGCTAAAGAATCTTGATTTTTTTCTTTTTCACATGTCCATTCTAAGAGATAGTTCCACTTATCTTATTAACTTATTGCATTTTTTAGGTTTTCTCTTTTTCATTTTTTTATTTGGGGGGCGGGGAAGGAAGATATACTGTCCAGACTCATTTAGTACTTCACTTGTGCCAGCATAGAAGAAAATAAGGAGAAATTTGATGAATGGTTACAAGAACTAAATGCAGAGCTATCTGTGATACACTTGCATGGCTCCTCCCTCCCCTGAACAGGACGCAGGCCAGAAGCACTTCGGAGCCACCATGTGTAAGTCCTGTGGCATGATCTACATGGCTTCCAGCCCCAAGGACGGGCTGCAACACGCTCACTACCACCACAGGTTTCTGGAGGGCATCAAGTACACAGTGAGTAAATGCTAGTCTTCCAATTCGTCCTGAAAGTAAAACTGCTTTAAAAGATACATGGCTTTTGCTTAAATATCGAAAGACCTCTATATTCATAAATATTTCACCATCTGCAGTTTCATGTCCTTAATATTTGAGGCTAATGGTATTTAAAAGTTAAAAAGTGCCATTTTAAACTATCTATCCTAATATAATAGAAGTATTGTTCTAGGTTAAGTGAACACCCTGCATTCTTACCTCTAGCCTTCTGAGCGGAGCGGAACAGTCAAGATACAAAATTCGAAGACGAGGATGCCCCCCTCCTCCTCACTTTAACTTCTTTATAGATATAGCCTTAGAAAACAGCTTTTCTGTGACTTCTCTAGGCTTTTTCTTTTCTGAGGTCTCTTTATCAAGCAACTTTCTGGTCCGAATACATCCTATTGTTGCCCCTACCTTTATGATTACACCTGCTGCTCAAGTGCATCCTCCCCCCACCCCCGTTTTTATTGCTGTGGTTCATAGCTTCATAGTGTTTTTAGCCTGTTTTATTATTCTATCCATCCCCCACTTTCACACTCCTAGTAATTTATTTTTTCCCAAGTCAGTAGGTATGATGGATCCTACATGCTTCTATGAAGAGCACTTATCTGACTTTGCCTTGTTTTGTACTAGGTTATGTATTCACACATCTGCCAATAGAGCGTCAGCCACTTGAGGACGGGCACTTTGTTCTAAGCATCTTTTGTTTTCCTTCCCCCATTTTTAATTGGATTTTATTCTATCTTTTTTTTTTATATCATTCGCTGTTCTTTTTGTCCTCTCCAAACTAAATTATTTATTTAATGTTTGGGGGTTTTTTCCTCTTCAAATTAAACTGTGACTCTTTTTCCCTTTGGCAGGGCTGGAAAAAAGAACGTGTAGTAGCAGAGTTTTGGGATGGGAAAATTGTGCTGGTCCTGCCACACGATCCAAGTTATGCTATCAAAAAGGTATGGAACACTAGAGAAAAAGAGGGAGAAACATCAGTGTGTGATTGCCTCTCACTTGGCCCCCACTGGGGACCTGGCCCACAAGCCAGGTATGTGCCCTGACTGGGAATCAAACTGGCGACCCTTTGGTTCACAGCCCGCGCTCAATCCACTGAGCCACACCAGCCAGGGCACTAGCTTTTTAATCCTTGTTCTCCTCCTGCCTCTTCTCCCCAACCATGAAATCACCAGTGCTGAAGAGTGAAACACCTTTGCTGATATGATCCACTTTGGTACACATGTAAGGATGATTTTCATAGTAGCTCATACAAAACTAAACTTAGAATTATAAGACAATTAAAGGAATGGCAGTTGGAGTTTGAAGACAACAGCTTGCTCCCTGACTGGTGTGGCTCAGTTGTTCAGGCCTCGTCCCACAAAGAGAAAGGTTGCGGTTTGATTACAATTTCAGGTGAGGGTACATGCCTGGGTCGCAGGGTCAGTCCCCGATTGGTTGAGGTGCTTATGAGAGGCAACCAATCAATGTTTCTCTATCTCTCTCTTGCTCCCTCCCTTCCTTCCCCTCTCTCTAAAAATAAAAAAGTTTAAAAAAGACAACAGCTTATCCTTTACATTTATTTATCTTCCACTTGGGAAAGATTAGAAACTAAACTTTTCATTGTTGAGAGATGAGTGGCTCCAGAGTCTATTTCTTGTGTTAGGGTTGCCTGCATTTATTTAGCTGGGTGTTTAGCCCCAGTAAACAATGAATAAAGCTGAAACAAAACCTGTTTTGGCACTGATACTCCTTCTCCCTCCCAGGAGTCTGAATTTCTTTCTGCTGAAAGGGATCTTTAAGACAGGTTCTTAACACCCAGTTTGCAAAGTGGCAGGTACGTGCATCAATAGTGAAATAATTGGGAGAAAGGAAGGCTATGTAGATTTAGGAAATGACAATAAAAGAGGCTAAAATGATAGTAATTGTAAATTTTGGGTATATAATTATAGTTTCTCTTATACTTTTTAAAACAAATTCATCTCTTTTGGTTTTTAAATCATTAGGTAGAAGATGTCCAAGAACTTGTTGACAGTGAATTGGGCTTCCAGCAAGTTGTTCCCAGGTGTCCAAACAAAACCAAGACTTTTCTCTTCATCTCCGATGAAAAGAGAGTAGTTGGGTGTTTAATTGCAGAGCCTATCACACAGGTACGTTGTAAGTCTGTTAAATTACTGACATAATTTGTGAGCAAAATAAATTAGTTGGGAGAGGTTTCAGTAAGCATTTAAGACTACTACCATAAGTGACTTTTTTTTCCTGCTGAAACACCCTTGACCACATGAATAATTGAAGTTAATTATTTCTGTTAATATTTGTATTTTGCAATATTAAAGCAGGACAACTTAAGTCAGTCTCATGTTCACACAGTCATTTCTATACCTGGCCTATAAAGTATAGTGATTTAAAATAAGCAAATCTGTAGATCCCAGGTAATGAACATGTAGCTTAGTGCAGGTTAATACGGAGTGGGCAAAAGTAGGTTTATAGTTGTCAGTACACAGTTTATTTTTGTATTACTCTTTATTATTTGTATTATTTTTCTTCTTTTTCTTCCTATTATTGTTATTATTTTGTATCCTTATATCTTTTGGGTAATGATGGCTTATAATTTAACCTACTTTTGCTCACTCCTGTATATTTGCCAAAATTGTGGTTACTCGTTCCTTAATTAGAATCCACTTTAGGTGCTGATTAGCAGCGTTCTAGAAAAGGAGTCAGCCAACTATAGCCCGTGGGCCAAATGTGGCCGCAACCTGTTGTTGTGAATGAAGTTGTACTGGAACACAGCCACTCTCATTCACTTCTGCGTTACGTGCCACTGCTTTTGTGCCAGATGGTGAGTTAGAGTGGGTGCAACAGAGGCCACGTGGCTCAAAGAGCCCAGATCGTTACAATTTGGCCTCTTAACAGAAAAAGTTGCCAGACCTTGTTCTAGAATAGAGAGATGTAGTTTTTGCCTTCAAGGACTTTACAGGGTAATCTTTAGCTAGAGATTTATAGTTCAAATGTGTTCATATTCCACACTTGTCTCCTTCCTTTAAAATACTCAACTCACTGTCATGAAATGAAGCTAGCATAAATTTATTTTATACTCTTTTTGTGGAGAGGGAAAGGTGGGTGTGATTTTAAACAGGTAGTAGCAAGAGGAAGATTTCTGTGATGGTGCAGTACCTCTGTCCTTTGAGTGTGGTGGTGGTTAAATGGTACTGAGTACGGGCATAATGAATGCTCACGAAACTGTACACATACATTCTACCCATGTTAATTTCTTGGTTTTGCTATTGTACCATAGTTATGGAGGGTGTCACCCTTGGGGGAAATGGGTCCTCTCTGTACTAGTTTGCTACTTCCTGTGAATCTTATTATTTCAAAATAAAACATTTTCTTAAAAAACCATAGATGCCAATCAAATTTTGTAATTAATATGTAAAAATCTTTAGTGTTTTCAGGTTTTTAAAAATATATACATGTAAAAAAAAAATATATATATATATATACATGTTAGGTTGGAGAGAATAAGAGATTTTTATGTACTAAAAATCAGTCTGATTTTTTTTTTTTACATTTTTTTCTCTTTTTAATAAAAGAGGGAAGTTTCATAATGGTACACTGGCATGTTGGGAATATCTCCACACCACTACTATTTTTTTTGAAGGATTGTGTAACTATAAAACAGTAAGAATTCAATAAATTTGAAAGAATTGTAACATTTTTGGTGAAGGGATAATAAGATTAATTTTAGACTCTCAAGTTTTGTTTAAGGGATGGTTTTTAAAAAGAAACGTGAACTTACCTGTATTGTTAACTCTAGATGCTTCTATATATATGCAGGCCTTCCGTGTCCTGTCTGAACCAACCGGTCCAGAATCCCCAAACTCTAGAGAATGTCACAGGGCGTGGCAATGTTCAGATATTCCGGTCCCTGCAGTCTGTGGGATAAGTAGAATCTGGGTCTTCAGACTGAAGAGAAGAAAGCGCATTGCAAGACGACTCGTTGATACTCTTAGGTAAGGAATATAATAAATAAAATGGACCCAGATTGGTTTTCCCAGAACCATTCCCACCCAGCTCATGACCCAAAGGGAATGATGTTGATAAGACACTTCTGGATAAGTTCTATCAAAGTCAAGCCGAGTAAGTCAAGTGTTGGCCCTGTAAAAACCCACAAAACGAAATTAAATTTACTCAGTTTAGGATACAACATTCTCTTTCCCAGGTCTGAGACATGCTAACCCAGTGCTTTTCAACTACCTGCGGTGAAAGAATAGTTTAATTTGTTACAGACCAACACTCTAATAAAAGAAAATAAAGATGAATTGCTAGAAAAACAAAACAAAAAAGGAAAATACAAGTCCTAATTTTATTCAGTTTTAACAGATGTAAAATTAACATTTCAATAAATATTTAATGATTAAATATAAAACAAAGAAAATGAAAGTTCAAAAAAATCACAAAATGTACATGTCCTTTGACAGTGAGTAGGTAATTAACAAAGACTTATTGCAACTCTTAAGTGTAACTAATGTAAAAGTGAATTAGTAAGACAATCCACAGAGTGGGAGAAAATATTTGCAAATCATTTATCTAATAAAGGTCTATTATATCTAGAATAGAAGAACTCTTTTAATACAATAATAAAAAGACATACAACCTAATTTAAAGATGGTCAGGATTTCAACAGACATTTCTTCAAAGAAATACAAATGGCTTATAAACACATGAAAATCTGCTCAACATGATGAGGTATCCAAACTGAATCACCAGTCAAAACCACAATGAGACACCACTTCATACCACTTCATGCCGGGAGAATAACAAGTGTTGGTGAGGATGTAGAGGAAATGGGACACTTTGCTATAGGAACGTAAAGTGGCGCAGCTGCTGTGCAAACAGGCCATTTCTCGGAAATAGACTGTTATGACCCAGCAGTTGTACTCCTTCCTATATGTTCAAAAGAAATGAAAGCATAAATCCACACAAAGACTGGTATGTGAATGTTCATGACAGCATTATTCATAATAGCCAAAAAAACATGAAAACCAAGTTCATGATCAGTAGTGGACATACACAGTGTGGTGTATCCATACAGTGTGATATAGATACTGCAATGTGGATGAACCTTGAAAACATTATGCTATTTGAAATAAGCCAGTCACAAAAAAACCCATTTTGAATGACTCCACTTAGAGAAAATGTCCAGAATAGGCAAATCCATAGATACAAAATAGATTAGTAGTTTCCAGGGCCTGAGGGGGTGATTGGAGTGTGATGACTGATGGGTATAGGGGGATTTTGGGGGTAATGAAAGTGTTCTGGAATTAGATATTGGTGATGGTTGCACAGTTTTGTACTATTACTAAAAAACCTGAATTGTACACCTTGAAGGACGAAACCTTATGGTATACAAACTGTATCTCAAATAGCAATTCTCCATTTTAAATTCCTATGCACTAACACTGTATATTGATACTTAAAAGTTTCTAATGACAAATGAGCTTATTTCTTGCTCATGTTAGTTCACCTAATCTAGATTGGATGGGTGAGTTTCACAACACTTATTCTCTCAACTACTGTACTTGATCACAGATTACAAACCAGCGAGGGAGCGCGCTTTGAGTAGCACCATTCTAGCTTTTTGAGTTCTATACACGTTTTAAGAAAGAACACCAACGACTACTGTGGGGATCTCATCTCTGGTCATAATCCTGCTCACCCACATACACTTTATAAAGCAGAGCAGTGAGAAAAACTGGTGTCTACAGAGATTTTTATTGGATAGTTAATTATGAAATACTTCTATTTCCTATATTTTATATGAAGAAATACATAAATTTTATATGTAGAAGGCCAGTATCTTACCACCAGGAATTAATCTAGTGCTTCTCAAACTTGAAAGTGCATATGAATCACCTGGGGGTCTTGTTCAAGTGCAGGTGTGGTTCCGTAGGTCCAGGTAGGGCCTGAGATTCTGCATTCCTGGTATGAGCTCAGGTGATGATGAATGTTGCTGGTCTGTAGATTGTACTTTGAGTACTAAGGCAGTAGGTTATCTCTAAGTGATAATGAATAAACATTAAGTTGCCCTCAAAGGAGAAACATAAAACACATTCATTTGAGAACATATTTATTTTTTCTGACATGTCCAAGTTGAAGATACAGGTAACGTAATTAACAACTAGCCTGTATATGACCAGCCTTAGGCTGGATTGCCTCTTGTCTGTACAGGCAATACATGTTTAAATCCCCACAAGGGTAGAATATTATTCCTAGTTACTTTACATAAGAATCACCTTAAGGTCAGGTGGGATTATTAAGTACAAACTTACGCTGATGAGCTAGCTAGTAAAAGGACAGTTAGGACTCAACCACAGATGTGATGTATCTTCTATGGCTGATAGTACTAATAAAGGCAGGACTATTTAATCAAACCAATATTTTCCCTTGACATTCAGCAATAAACACTATTCATTTATATAGTAAGGATACCAGAAGCTTAACTTTTAATTGAATCCAATCCTTTAAGTTGTTATTTTGAAGTGGTTTCAAGAAAAAGTAGCAAGAATAGTAAAAAGAACCCCCTTATACCCTTGCCCAGATTCATCCAGTTTTAACATTTACTTTCTTTGTACTTCAGTGTATATTTATTTCTTAAGAACAAGGATATTCTCTTACATAAGCACAGTTCATTGATCAAATTCAGGACATTTAATATTGATATAATGCTTTTGTCTAATGTCTAGCTCGTATTTCAATTTTGGCATTTGTCTCGAATGTCCTCTCCAGCCTTTTCCTTCCCCCGTCTGGGATCGCACAATGCACTTAGTCCTGTCTCTTCAGTCCTTGTTTCCCTTAACCTGGGCCAGTTTTTTGGCCTTTGTCTTTTGTGACATTGAAGAGTACAGGTCAGTTACTTTATATGCTATCCCTCAATTTTGTTGAATTTGTTCAACCATTTCATTACTTTTAATCCTGAGCTCTGGATCAAAGAGAGTTGTAGTCAAAATGCAGATTAGTTTTTATCCTCTTAAAGCTCTGAGTATGTGGTGTAACCGAAAAGAATACAGTTATTGGTTAAAATCAGTGGTGGGTTTCTTTGGTCTTTATTATCTAGGGCTTTTAATCAGCAATATTGCCTCTTATTAGGTGCCTGCTACTGTGGATCACCTAGTCAGATGGATGGTTTGTACGCTTCCCTTTGTCTTAGCAGAATTTTTTCTGGACCTCAGTTTTCCGTTCTGTGAAATATTAGACTTCCATCTCAAATCTAAAGCATTAAGTCATGCTCTGGCCAAGTGGCTTAGTTGGTTGGAGCATCATCTTGTACACCAAAAGTTTGTGGGTTCGATCCCTGGTCAGGGCACATACCTAGGTTGCAGGGATCAAGCTCTGGTCAGGGTGCACATAGGAGGCAGCAGGTTGGTGTTTCTGTCTTTGGGTGAGGATTAAAAAAATAGTAAAGCACTAAGGGATCTTACTACATGATCCCTTAGTGCTTTATTATTTTTTTAATATCACTTAGTAAGATATACATTTTTTTTGAGGGGGAGCGGGAGGGAGAAGGGGAGGAACATCAGTGTTGCCTCCCGTACATTCCCCGAGAGAGGACTGAACCTGCAACCCAGGCACTGAGTACCCTGACCAGAACTGCACTGGTGACTTTGGGTTTACAAAACAGCACTCCAGCCAACTGAGCCACACTGGCCCGGGCTAAAATAAAATGTTCATTTCAATTGAGCATTTATTTAAAGAGATTTAATTTTTACATTTGGATTGCTTTAAAATAAATTGTGTTAATGTTTAATTGTGTAACTATTTAATGTTTAATTTAACAAAATTTAATTTGGTTCCATTGTTAAATTTTCTTTTCCTCTTTTTTAGGAATCGCTTCATGTTTGGCTGTTTTCTCAGCACTGATGAAATAGCATTTTCTGACCCAACACCAGATGGCAAGTTATTTGCAACCAAGTATTGCAACACTCCTAATTTCCTTGTATACAACTTCAATTGTTAAAGCCAGTTTCAACTGTGGAAGAGTTACTGTATGGATGAGTTCAGACAACTTCTTATGTAATTATTCAGCGAATGTTAAAAATATTGAGGCGCACACACACACAATATGCTGTCGCTTATGAATTGAAAAGTCAGGGATTTGTTAAAAAGTATATGGAGGTTCAAAGGAGAAATCTTTGGATGCTGTGCACTACTAGCACTCTGAATCCTTAATTCTGAAACTCAGTAGACAGAACTGGAAAATTACTTATTACATAAGAACATTGACAAAGCAAGGTGGTTTCCAACAGAAAGGACCGCTTGCTTACCTTTTATGGAGCACTTTTGAACCAGGATTATCCCACCCTCAATCAGAAGCAAACAGGCAGATTTAAAGACATCATTCTCATGCCCAGTTTTTAAAGGTCGTTCCTGAATTCTGTACCCAGAATCCTCACCTTAGAGGTAGCTCAGTTTGAATATATTTAGAAAATTTTAAATTTATCATTTCTAATGGGGTAAGATGGTAAAGACTTCCATATGCTTTTATGTACAACAGAATGATATGGTTTAATGTTTTAGTCTCTAAAAATTAATTGAAAGCAGTTTCCACCAGATTTAATTAGAACTAAACTTAGTAATTGCACTATTGTAATTTAATTTTTGGCATACACTAATTGTGCTAGTTATCTTTAGTGAAATTATTGGGAATTGAAATTCATAACAAAATGGATGCCCCAGTGGGGGTTACGATGATTCATAGTTGGTTATACTTAAAATTGTTTTGCATCTCTGAAATACTTCTTGTCCTACAACATCTAACAAAATGTACAGTATTAGTACCAAGGTTAGTGAGTAAATACAGGGTCCAGCAGAAGTATTGCCTGCTTGAGTGTGACATTTAGGGTAATAATATGGGTGTAATAATTTAGTTTTAATTTGAACATTTCACCTAAAATGCCGTATGGTGTGCTTAAGTGTGATATGTTGAGTGCTTGAATGTTACGGAATTACATGCTTATGACTTTGTAATAAAAAAGGGGTGTTATTTGGGCTAGACCCTATATATCTAGGCTGATGGGCCAGAGAACATAATCTTATATATATACAGCTAAATGTTTTAATATTTTTAAAAATAAGTTTTCTGTTATAATTCATGGATACTTTGAAAAGTAAAGAATTATTCAGATTGTTGAATCTAAAAAATATTTAGCTGCTATCTGGCAATAATTCTCTACAGAAGTAGATTTCCAGGTTATAACTTTGGAGTATGTTCATTTATGTTCTTTATTTGCCTGTCAGCTAGTGTGGTACCAAAAGTTAAAAACCTGAGTTCCAAAAGAATGTGAAAGTGTTCAAATGTAATTATGCAAACATTTTAATGTTATTTTCTGCACTGTTTTTTTGTTTTTAAATTTTATTTTAAAAATTTTATTAACATTATTTGCTTGTTCAATGCTTTTGTGATGGATCAATTAAAGTTCTTTTCAATATTCTTTGTCTATTCTCATACAACTGAATATACTAATTCCTTTTTTGTGTGTGGCTATAAATAGTATATGCTCTTTGTAAAAAAGTAATCATTGAAAACATATCCATCCACACAAAAACCTACACACAGATCATTTATAGCAGCTTCATTCATTCATAACTGTCAGAACTTGGAAACAACCAAGATGTTCTCCTGTAGATGAATAAACAGCTACATTGAGAAAGTGGATTACTATTCAGCACTAAAAAGAGGCCACAAAAAGGCATGGAGGAACCATAAATGATTATTGCCACGTGAAAGAAGCCGATCTGAGACTACATTCTGTAGGATTCCAAGTACATGACAGTCTGGACAGGCAAAACTGAAGAGTCAAAATATATGTGGCTGAGGGAGAGACACGTAGGAAGAGCACAGGATTTTTAGGGCAGTGAAAATATAGGTATGTAGTCATGTGCCACCTGACATTTCAATCAGTGACACAATGAATATACGATGGTGTTCCCACAAGATTATAGTGCAGCTGAAAAATTCCTATTGCCCAGCTAGCAATGTCACAGTCACCATAACGTCACAGCGTAACACGTTACTCATGTTTCTGTGGGGATCCTGGTATAAAAAATACTACTGAGTTGCTAGTAGTATAAACGAATAGCACATACAATTATGTGCAGTATATAATATTTAGTAACAAATGACTTACTGAGTTGTGTATTACTACACTTTACCATTATTTCAGTGTACTCTACTTATTTTAAAAAGTACAGTGTAAAATAGTATGCTGTTACTCCGGTAGCGGCCTCATGCATCTTGTGTTTAAACCTATTTTTCGATTGCATCTTTTTCTCTTGATTTAATCTCATGTTGTTTTGTTCATCATGGCCCTTAAGCATCTAAAATCCATTGCTAAGAGAGGCCACCTTGAGTGACTGACTTGGAAACAAATTCAAAGTGATTAAGGAAGGACTACAAAGGTGAAAAAATAATGGCTATTGCTCACTAGTCAGATATGTCCCACTCCACCTCAGCCACATTCTTCAAGAACAAGAACAAGGTGATGGAAGCTGTTAAAGAATCTGCTTCACTGAAGGCACTACTAACAAAAACTGGAGAAACTTCTAAGCCTGGCTTGAAGACCAGACACGGGCAGGACCCTCTCAGCCCCAGGATGATCCGCTTGAAAGCAAAAGCTTTGCTTGAGATGATAAAAGGCTGGACTCGACTACGTTGCTGAATTTATTGCTAGCTTTGAGTGGTTTAAATGATTAAGAATCATTTGTTATCCATGACATAATGTAAAAGTGAGTGATGAGTCTGCAGGTACTGATGTGAAAGCAGCTGAAGAATTTTTAGAAACTAGATATGCTGATTGTGGAGGAAATTTACACGACAGAGCCAAAATTCAATACGGATGAAGGATGAACTCTCCTTATTCTGGAAAGGACTTTCATCCATAAAGAGGCCAAGTCAGTGCCAGGTTTCAAGGCTTTTAAGGACAGGGTAAGTCTTGCCTTGTGACCTGGCAGTGAAAACCCCAGGGCCTTCAGACTTTTCTAATATTAAGACTACAAATTTCAATAAGCACATCTTTAGCCACATCCCACAAATATATATATGTATTTTTTTCACTATTAAAAATCTTTTCTACTTTTATTTTGTTAGTTTTGTGTCACCCTTTAAAAAATTTCACCTTGTAGGTTTTAAAGATTTTATTTATTTTTTTGAGAGAGGGGAAGGAGGGAGAAAGAGGGAGAGAAACATCAAACATTGACTAGTCATCTCTTGCACGCCCCCAACTGGGGACCAGACCTGCAACCAAGGCATGTGCCCCAACTGGGAACCTAACCAGCAGCCTTTCGGTTCAGGCCGAGGCTCAAGCCACTAAGCCACACCAGCCAGGGCTGTGCCATTAATATTTTGATAGAAGGTATGCTTATTAATGACCTGTACCACTGCTTGGTACGATCTCACAGAACAGGAACCCTGCAGCCCTGACAGATGTGGCTCAGTGGACTGGGCATCATCCTGCAAACCACAAGGTCAGAGGTTCAATTCCTGGTGAGGGCACATGCCTGGGTTGCAGGACAGGTCCCTGGTTGGGAGCATGCAAGAAGCAACCAATCAATGTTTCTCTCCCTCTCTTCCCCTCTCTCTAAGAATTAAAAAACAGTATGAACCCTCCAGTAGATTCTAAAATTGCTAAAGCTCAGAGCGCAGTGGTTCAATCCTCCATTTGACAGTAATTTTTTAAATTCTTACTGCAGTCAATTCTGGGCACACCACCTAGATTGACAAGCGCAATTCAATAACTGAAAATTCCTGGGGCGGATGTGATTGACAGATAGAAACTATTGATCCAAATCACCCTCATTTTACAGATTAACAAAATAAGGCTGAGAGAGAAACCCACTCACTCAGCAACTTCAATGACAACACTCAGATCGACGGAGATGAAATAGATAATACTCTTCTGGTAACTAAAGTGTCCTTTATTTTCTATCATACTATTAGTTTTATTATTTTTATATACCAGAACTTTGAAATGCTTCAGCTTTATAGGCAGCAAATGAAAAAGGGATCTCAGTATAGAAAACACATTAAATAAATGAAAGCAAAGACCAAAGATCTGGGGAGAACCAGGAGGGCAAGACAAGCCTTCACCAAGAGTGTCTGGAAACACCCAAGGAGCTACTCTTGAGCCATAGTTTCTCAGTTCCCAGAAACCATATTTAAGAAACACAACAGCCCAGAAAGAACAGCAAAGTTTAATGTTTTAAACAATAAACAAATGTAGACACATTTTGTACCACAAAGTGCTAATTTAAATAGATGCATTAAAATAGAATATTTAAGATAGTTAATAAAATTATTGGTCACTCTACCCCAATTAATGTTAAGACAAATATTGCTATTGTTTTAAATCTATGAATAAGTTTTGATACTTCTTAAGCTCAAAATAGTTTCTTAAACTTTATAGAAAACCCACTATGATATCAAATGCTGATCACATGAAATACCTTTATAATAGAAATAGTTTTCAAATGTTAACAAGGTGCTATGGTTCTACAATGGGCCCCTTTCAAAGAGTCTAATAATTATGGATTATCATAGTAACTACATATAAATATATTATAATAAACAGAACAGTTATACACATAAGCCATACTTGAAGCTCAGGCAGTTATGAATATGAGCTCACTGGACATCTACTTCCAGTGCTTCGACAATGTGTGCAGCAGAAGGACGATCTCTAGGATCTTCATTAGTGCATACAGAGAAGAGCTCAATTACTTTCTGGTATGTTTCATCCAGTTCTTCCATGTTAATAGGTGGCCTAGTTCCCAAAGCCGCATAGTATGCCTCGTCATCAAAGTCACTTTCATCAAAAGTTTTATCTGTTCATGAAGGAGTTTGAAACAAATAAAATCACTTTAAATCATGGAAAAAACTTATCAACTGCTCAAACTCACCCTTTTGAAACAAGAGTTTTCATTATAATTCACAGTCTCTCTTCAATTGCTCTGCCATGGTGTGGATTAGCCACTGTCATGGATTTAATCTGTGGTCATCAGCCCTTTACTAGGACAGCTTTCTAATCTCAGGCAAGGGAAGTTTTTAAAGTAACTTTTTGCTCCTCTGAATTTTCTCATTTATCCCCCTGTTTGAAATTAATCTGTATCTCAATTTTATAAAATTAAACCAAGACAGTACCAAATTAGTCATCAATATTAATATAATCTATACCTCATGCTACTAAATCAAACACTTTGCTTGTTTTAAAACTAATTTAACAGAAAAATAAAATATAATTTTATAAATTAATTGTACTTCAAACCAGATTGGGAATTACATTAAAAATATATAGTTATACCATCGTCATCATCATCATCCAAAAGAGTAATGTGCGGAATAGACAAAGTCATCATTTCCCACAGAGTAAGGCCAAAGGCAAATATGTCCGCCTTGTCAGTGATAATGCCATTCTCGTCCAAAGCCTCCTTGGGTTTCCAAGGCTCAGTGCCAATATAGCAAGCCTCAGGGCCAGTTACTGAAACAAGTAAAACGCAGGTGAAATCGTCTCAAGGGCAAACACTAGAAATCACCAAGAAAGGCAAGCAAACCACTCCCCCTACCCCGCCACCAAAAAGAAAAAAATAATAATAAAGGGCAAATGATTTGACATGTAATTTATTAAATATAGTCAGTAAACATGAAAAAATACACTCAACTCATTAACAATAATTACTTTATCCCTATCAGACTGATAAATATTCAAAAAGCTGGATAGTTGGCAAGGGTGTACATAAACAACAATTCTCTTAGAAGTGCTAAGAATATAAATAGATATTCTTGACGAGTACAGACTCTGGAGACAGATCGTCTTGCCTGGGTTCAAAGACATTTGCAAGCTGTGTTACCTTAAGCAGATAGATCATTTCGTCTCTGTGCCTGCTTCTTCAGTTTTCATACTATGCTATTCCATATTATTGTCTGAGTGAAGTACCATTTCTATGCTGTTATTGTGAACTCAGAGAAAAGGGAAAGGGTCTAATCACAGACTAGCTTCTGCCCAGGAATGACACAGATCCACTCACATTTCCATTTAAATTTCAGTCAACTTTTCAATTTCGGTGAAAAGGCCAGCTAAAATGCTGGTTGGGATTGGATGGAATCTCTAGATCAGTTTGGGAAGAATTAACATCTTACACAGTATTGAATCTGCCAGTCAATTCACAGTCATGATCTTTCTCCATTTACTTACACCTCATTCAATTCTCTTAGTGATGTTTTATGGTGTTCTGTACTTGGGTGACTTTTTTGTTAGATTTATTCTTAAATATTTTATGCTTTTTGGTACTATATATGTAGAAATATAACAGACAACTTCACTTATTATAGTAGTTCTTTTATAGATTAAGATTTTCTATGTAAACAATCACATCAACTGTAAATATGAGCAATTTCATCTCCTTTCC